TAACAGATGATTTGTTTCTCGTGCGAAGCTAGGCATTTACTAGACTTGCTACAAGTCGACCTCTTGGCGAGCGGAGCGAGCCTTTTTTTGAATTTAAGCTGATAAAATTTAGTTACCCTCTCTAGGGATCATATCGAAGCTACGCAATGCCAACAAGGAAAAGAATGGAATTAAGGATGGAGACCCTCGAAAATCATTTACCTCCGGCAACAATAACAAGTGACAACAAAAAAACAGTCAGTTACAATTAACTACGGAACGACATGCATCATCGGTCTCCCCTTTTACTAACCTAAGAGTATTTGAAAAATGTCTTCACTAATGTGTTAAACCTGGCAAACGAGAGTGCCTAGGTGCTTGATCATAAACCAACACCGCAGTATTTCAGAATTGTTGTTGTTGTTTTTTTTTGTACTATAAAATGGCGACTGATAAACACGTGGTCTGAAAACTATGAGGCTTTCATAAAGTAAGCGCAATCCCCAGTTAGTTAGGATGTGGACGCACCCAGCCAAGCGCCTCCTGCAGTCTGCTCAGTTCAAAGAACGGATAAGATTACAAGTTCGTAGACTGATTGCTACTGTACAATTCCAGGTATCAAATTATTCTCCGGCCAAGGATCAGGGAGAACCTAACCTAATGGCATATCTATATAAAATCATAAACTGGTAAAAGAGTAGTGAGGTCATATTTGAAAACAGGCATCGATTTGATGTCATTGATAGGGATAAGGTCTGAAGCGGACAAAAAAATCACATGTTCTTCACCTTTAACCGTCAGGTTTATATTTTATGCCTTGAACCCTAGTGTCCTGATCGTTTGTGTTACCGCAGTTACAATGTCTTGTATTTGTGACCCCTCCCCCCCTAACCTGGTGAAAGTTGATAACATTACAAGACCATTGTCAAAACTTGGAAGAGCAGGTTTTGAACAATTATTTGATGAGTTTTTATTTTTGTGATATCGAGAAAAATCACTATTTTGGATATCACAGGTATCGAATCTAAACACACGGAACACATTTTGTCTGACTGATTGATCTTGGAAATCTTGTATTGCGCGCGCAACCTACGGACTAGTCATTTATCTGTGGCAGATAACTTACTAATTTGTAGGTGTCCACAATTAACTGTAGCCTCTTAGCCAATGGGAAGACAAATAGTGAGTACAATGTACGGTATAATAAGTTTAAAAGACCACTTTTCTTTCGGAGTGTCTCTACATTGTTGTCGTCCTGTAAAATCGTACGTAAATAGCCGGCTGGAACCACTGTCTCGTCTCGGCGCAGAGGGTGAGTGTATGTTGTTCAAAGACGGTCTTTACTCTAGAACCTTTTTTATAAGAGATCAGGCCCTTGAAGTTGAACAAAAGTATAACACCTTTCTCGGCTAACAGCCTAGCCAAGCTGAGACTTTATAGCAAAAGCAGGTTTATCTTGCATCCTGTATACTGACATGTAGGGACTTAAGCAACAACATATATGGTTAAACGTAACCATTCTGAAACTCTATATCACGTAACTAAATAACATGTTAAGAACCCGTTCCTGATCTAAGCAAAAATAATAATAATAAAGCTTCAGAAAAGCTTTCAGTCCATGTTTAGACGTTCTAAACATAAAATTGTTGGAACAAGAATCTGGTGCTACCAAATGGTTTCTACTCCTTCGATGACTTTTGGCCGGTGCGTGTGGTGACTCAAACAAGTTCAGAACAAAATGTGTCATTCGTTTTCTTTTTCTCGACCAAATTTTAACTCATTTTCTACCAAACTCGATCGAGTTTTTCTGTATAATTCTCCTTGTATGCAGAAAGATACTCTAAGCAATTGGTCAAAATATGCGATCTCATGTTACCTGCATCGACACTAATTACGCGAAATGAGAAAAAATCCAACGATCTCGATCCTGCTAGCTGCTAGCCACATTTTGACGCGTCATCTGACTTATATGCATCAACATTACCCTGAATTATTTATACCTAAAGATACTGATCATGAGGAGTAATGATATGTATTATACAAGAAAATGTCCTGATTGAAGCAAGGGAATCTAGTTCTTTCTAGAATATACTAGAATATTCTCGACAATCTTAATGTTTCTCTTTTTCGCAATAATCACCCTCGTGATACACTGTACACGGGAGCAGCTCAAAAACGCCAAAGGGCATAAATCATCGGCTAACCATGTGACAGCATAACACACGTGGAAATAGCCTGCGTAGCATGGCGGTTTTGGTTGGGCGCGCTTAGTAATAAAGGCGGGCGAGGGAAGAGAAACCGCGAGGAGATTGAGGCGGGAGCAACTCGGGAGCAACTCGGTTTTTATTTTTCTCGCGGCTTCGCCGCTCGTTCTCGCGCGCTTCGCGCGCGAATTTCGCGGCTACGCCGCTCCTGCGCCCAGCTCGACAAAACCGCCATGCTACGCAGGCTAACGTGGAAATTGGGGCTATTGCGTACGTATAACCAGCCTTCCATGACTAATACGAAAAACCCCGGGAGACGACACTCAATTTACCTCATCATGCCACATTGCAAAATAACAATATAATACGGCGCATTGATTTCCATACTAGGTTGTTTCGCAAGAAAACACCTCTTTAAGAATTGAGTGCGAAGGTTGTTTAGCACAGTGTGTGCATGTTAGGTCGTCCTTGACCTTCCGGTTTGATTACATAGGAAAAAAATGGTGGTGACGTTTCTCGCTTATCACATCTTATTGTTGATAGACTTGATTGGCAGTGAATGATCCGTTCAAGTGGGCGCTCAGTGAGTTGACCTCTCGTTAGTGAGTGCCTACAGTTTTATTATCTCTCACAACATTCAAAGCATCACTATTATCTACCTTTTGTTCTCTAGACTCATAACAGACGCCATCTGACTGTCGCTGCGGTTGAGCGAGAAAGTGCTTCGATGGAGATAATACTTCCAATTTGTGCGATTGTGCTGGTGGTGTTGTTCGTAGTGGCAGCTTTGAGTGGAAAGGTCCGCAACACCGTGATTTCCTCAAGGACGTACAAGAAAGCTTTTGCCGTGCACATGAACCTATTCAGCAGAATTCACAATAGAGCTGTTCAAAAACGCAAGGAAGAAATGTTCAATCACATGAAGATGGCCCTGAAAGGCGTTCAGGGAGATATTCTGGAGATCGGGGCAGGAACAGGAGCTAACTTTGAATTCTTACCTGAAGGATGTTCCGTTATCGCCCTAGAGCCAAATCCGCACATGGAAACCTATCTTGTAGAAAACGCCAAAAGATTTCCCCATGTCCAACTAAAAGAAATTGTGTCCGGCTACGCAGAAAACATGGAGGGAATCGCAGACAACTCGGTAGAAGCTGTGTTGTGCACTCTAACGCTTTGTTCAGTGACTGACATGGAAGCAGTTCTGTCCGAAATCAAGAGAGTTTTGAAACCGGTGAGTCGCGGTTTTGTCGTTTTGTTACGTTTTAATTCCTCCGAAACAGGCGTAATTATATAGCTAATTGTTTTTAAGAGATTATGTTACTTTGGAGGTCAATAATTTGTTATTACATTTTGATGATTTTTCAAAACAAATTACCGCCCACATCTTATCTTCATCTGTGACCCTTTTCTTCTTAAAACATGACAAATCAGACACTGCTTCTCTTAAAAAACGTGTAATTTCCAGAGAATGCACACAAGTCTTAAAACTGAAGTGGGACCGTCCAATCTCTAAAAAATGTGGAAACGGAAAAATATAGGTTCTACTAGCACCTTATGAACTGACTAAATTTTAAAAACAGAGGGCCCAAAGCGTTATTTGGGCATCTGGTCTTCTTTGGGTGTGTGCATACCCTTGGTACTGTATTTTACTTTCAGTTTGCTGACTAATGTTTACAATATTTGCCGACTACCTTTTTTTGGTTGAGGTGGGGCGGAACTGTATTATACCTGTGGTAAATAGCACGTATTAGACTTGAATTAGTATGTTTTCGTAAGCTTTAAAATCGAGGCTATATTTGTTAAACAGTCAGTAGGGGGACAATGCCCATTTACTATGCTTATCCTACGTATACATCCTTTCCCTACGGTATCATGCAGTTTATTCAAATCATAAATAAGACTATATCAGTTGCGCGTCAATGGCAAACAGAAAACATAGTTTTCAAGGATCGAACAAGGTCGTAAAAACAGAATAAACTAGAGCTATGCTAATATAACACATAATATGTAGTACCTTAGTAGCAGAGTCTCTATCGATGGCAGAAGATAAGTAGAGCTTATTTTTCTCGTTTTCTAAGGAGATAAAAGGATGTCTGTCAGTTAGAAATCAGACCAATTAGCGACAACTTCTCTTCAAATATTGATTCGACTAGCCATCGTTCAATTTAACACACCGTATTAGTGTCGCTAGTTAAGGTTTGCAATATTGTTGTAGTTGGTTTCTTTTCGAGTTCCCAAATAAAAAGGATAATACCCAAGAGAGGATACCTAATTAGGATCGTTAAGTTGAAACAGCTTGAATTCGTTATAGCATGACTATTTGTTTACTTGCTTACACTACGGGCGTGAGCTATGCCAAACATTTCCCTGTTTAATATCAATGTGCAGATAACAAGGGCATAAGTCATAAAACTCATTTCCGCTTGTTTTCATCCGTTTTCTCTTTCCATCGACTGCAACAAAAGCACAGTGACAGTATCCGAGCACGTTTAACCATGCAACAGCATTCTTTTCGGTTGAGATCACGCACCTCCTATACTAACACCCCTTCGAAAAATTATCTTTCAGGGAGGCTACTTTTATTTTTTGGAACATGTAGCAGGTATGTTGGTTATAATTGCATAAATAGTTTGTTTTTATCTTGATTTTATAGAGTTCGTAGCGTTCAATGGGTGGCCTCCATCCGCCTCACGTCCGATCAATTAAAATCCACCTTTTGGCACGCGAATAGCTAACATGCGAAATGCGAACCACGTATTGAAAGATTAGATAGATATTTCCTTTGTGTTTGTTTAGAAAAGTTTGAATTAAAACCGGGAATATTTTTCCTGCCTGTGCAAAGTTACTCACGGAAGTAACTCAGTTGTATCACAGGCAGCCCAAGGGTACCCGTGGGGGAATCGATACATTAAATACATCTATAAACAGGATGAAAAGCATGTTCTCTTTTTGAAAGTTACCCTCGTTAGAAATGCTCAGCACGTCCTTAGGGCAGACAAAAGCAAAGCTTTCTTCACTATGAAGTAAATTGATTTGTGTAGCTGTAAAAACAAGTCGACTTTTAGGCCTCTTAAGAGAGCTATAGTTGATCCTGTTTTTCCAGGAAACTGCAGTTTTTGACATTCGTGGATCGAAGTTTGTACGCACTCACGTGTTTACCGCACGTATTTGCTACAAAGAGTCAAATACCGGTTATAAAGTCATGAAATCTGTAAAGATAGCCTTTAAAACTTCCTTATCTTTATCCAACAGCTGCTTTCTGTTATGCAGCCAGTGTTATCGTTTGTTTTTTCGATTTTTTCGCCGGGGTACTGTACTCTATAGTTATAGTCTTTTTAAAATATTTTAAAATTTTACCTAAATGCAATCAACATCAACTATAGAAAACTAAAAGATTTTTTTTTTTTTCAACAAGGAAACATTTTTTATTTATCCAAAAAACACCAGATTTTTCTAACTCTCAATTCAATTAATACTATCCTATGTCAGCATTTATTTAACTCTTTTAGAATAATTATATCGTTTTAGGGCTGTAGAAAGAAATGTTTTTATAATCTGTAGTATGCTTGGTCTGCCTCTCGTCGGTGGCTGTTTATATAATATCGGAAACCTATTCCTGATGTGCTAAAAGCCGGAAATTAGGACAAGTGTTTATCTGTTCTGTCCGCGTTAAATGTTTTTCGGAAGAATTTAATACAAAGTGATTCATCTAAAACTATATTCGATCAGGGATTTCTTCAGATCGGGAGAAACGTCCTGCTATGGCAGACAGTTTTAGGAGAAAAGGAGATAGACAGCCAAAAAATTGCTCTATGTTGAGGGACAATACTAGACTCTTACTTTTAATGATACTGTTTTTTTTTTCTCCCTTCTTTCCTCTTATGTATTTATCAGAGGTTTAAGACTTCATGGCATTATATACCGGCGTGCCAATATTATGGGTTTTCATAATCACACGGGCGCCCGGAACGCGGCGTCCAGTGCGGGCAAGGAACTGCGATAAAACGCCCCGTCCTGACTAAAAAATAAAAGTACATGCAGTACACATACATAGCTCTCTTTTGACTTTCTGCCTTTCTAAGTTAATGTCTTTCTTGTCGAAATTACTGTTCACAAGGAGAAAAATCACATGGTGCACTTATCTAAAACTCTTTTAAATTTCGGTCAGTACGTGATGACTTCGCTTTTAACGCTGTCTTACTGATCCAATTTTGTCTTTGGCGAATACTCAAGCCGCATAAACACTATAAGAAATGAAATGACTCACGTATACTCTGACCTTTTCGTAACACAAGGTCGGCTGTCGTTATCATGCGATTAGGGCTTTCCACAAATTGTGAAATATGGAAGAAAGGCCAATCAAATCACTAAAAGTTGCTCCGACAGCTCAGAATTAGAAGATAACTAGAGCAATTGCTCAGAATGCATAAAGTTGCTCGAAATACGAGAAGTTGCCAAAAAGTTGCTTGCCACAGCTATCTTGTATGACCGGCAACCCAATTAACCATCCAAAATGTCTCACGGACCATCGTTAAGCAAAAACTATTGATTTGTTTATAAACAATTATTGGATGAAGTTTTTGTGATACTCCAGAATAATCAACGCCGAGGTAGGAGTTATCAACCGAAGCCGTGGGCTGAGGTTGATAACCCTTACCGAGACCTTGATTATTCTGGAGATCACAAAAACCGAATCTAATAATTGTTTTATTATACATTGAACGGACTCTTTCTTTCTCGCTTCGACATAAAATGTTTTCAAAGTTTGTGCCAACTCTTTCTTTTCCTCAGGTTCTCTCAGTCTTTGTCTTCCGCTATTTTTTCGATGTCTTGCTCGGTCAACGAAGCAAAGCTGGAAGTCATGTTTTTGCTTCTTCACTGACGGCAAGCGACACAAAGCGCGCGAACTCGATATTATTACCCTCAGAAATCATACACCGCGCTTATACATGACATGATTGCCCGTGATCTTGAGTGTCCTTTACATGCCGATAATCTGCAGCTAGGTGATGTCACAGGCGCTGATTTCGAAAGTTCACTGTACGCTTTCGGTCAATCAGAAAAGAGATAGTGAGTTGAACGTATAATAATTATACTATCGCTATTTCGGTATGTCTGCCGTACGACTAAAAAGGCATAAACAGAAGCCCATAATGGCTCCTGGCAATGGGCTCCTGACATAAACTAAGACGAATAACAACCTTGTTCCCAGGATAGGACCCTGACCCTGTTGGAGTTCACGGCCACACCCTTATAAGATTTTCAGTTCTCTTACATGTAGCATATTTCTGTTTTAGATGACCCTGAAACATGGAGGCATTCATTCCAACGCACTTTCGATGACCAGTGGAAATATCTCAGCGACGGATGCTCCTGTTGCCGTGAAACTTCGACCTATCTGGAAAACGCTGGGTTTTCTAGCGTCTGCTATCAGAAGTTCTACGTAAATGAGTTAATGTTGATTGCGTACTTAATGCTGCCTCATATCGCAGGCTACGCAGTCAAGTAATGTCAGTAATTACTGTTGTTCTACTGCGTGAAGCCGCGTGATCGGGTTTTGTCAGAGCTGTGAGAGTAGTCCCTTAAAGGTGCCATTTGTCCATCAGTTTAACCAAAAAGAAATACTGAGCGCGTCGAGTTTATTCTAGAGATATGCTCCTAAATGTCAGTAAAATATTGACGCCGGCTACCGTGATACCGCTCAATACTGACTGTCAAAGGCATATGTTAAGTTTTCAGTAGCTTTTCTAGAAGTACTAGCAAACAAAGCAATATTTTTATGCTACGATTAAGCATACAGTATAGGATAAATTTCGTAAATTAATTGCGGATACAGAGCTTTGTTATTTAGACAGGTGTGTGACAGATTTGGGAGATATTTTAAAGAAAATATCCGTTGGTAGATGTATTCGTATAAGGGGAAAAAAGTTTATATATTTTTAACGTATTTGTTAGGTTTTGAGTATAGCATGTGTATATATTCTTGAATTTCCACACCGCTGACCAAATGACTAAAGTAGCTTTTTATACGACATATTATTTATAACATTGAAGTCCAATTTGGTAGATATAAGTCCTTTTTCTTTTCTTGTTTAACGTATTTAAGTATATATTAAATAAGCTGTTAAGTTTTAGGGTTTACAGCACACCCCCATTTATATCAAGTTAAATTTTATATCAGCTAGCCTACTTAAATAACGAACAACGCCTGTATATGACAACCCCCTGCAAAAGGAATCAGCTGATGTCCTGTTAATAAGTAAGAACTAGACACAATAGTTCACAATGATACATTTAGTTATATACACAGCGGTAGAGGTATTTTGCAGAACGCCGAACGACTCTGAAGTTTAGTGCTTAGGGTTAGGAAACTGAGTGAATTAAGTTTCTGGTCAGTTTGCCCAGTATAAAAACCCTAAATGGAACCTGATTCACTCAGTATCCTAACCCTGATCACCAAACTAAGAGTCATTCAGCGTTCTGCAACGCCGTATACAGCTATTTCGAGAAAGGTTGTCGGAAAAAAAGAGATGTGCACGAGACAATCCCGAAAGGTAATATGGGAAATGATCAATACACTGTTTCTGACGACTGTACCTGTCGAACCTACTTTTGTTGCTTTCCTTTAGCACTCGCAAACAAATTTCTATGGCCTTTCGTACCAATTCTTTCAAATTTTTTTAAAGAACAGTGAACTTAAAACCACCCAAAATGCCTTTCGGGATTGTCGCGTGCACTTTTTCCGACAACCATTCTCGAAATAGCTGTATACAAAGTATGTTTCTGAAATGGTGATCCACAGTTACCTTAATATCTATTTAAGTGTCACGTCAAAGCTGGGCATAACTTACCTTTAAAAAAAAGGAAAAACTGAAATTATTACTTCGTAGTTAAGTTGACGACAATGATTCTTTTACTCAGGTGTAAAGCTTTTTCATATTTCAGGCGTTGTTTTTATAATGTTTCGGCAATTTTATAAAATTTGCAGTAACTTTGTAAGACAATGAATATATTCTGCAGAAAATAGTATTCAGTTTGTATTTTATTCGTGAGTATATTTGACTATATTTCACCAGACAATAAAACCTTTAACAAAATAAGCTCTTGTGCCTTTTAATTTTCTAAGAGTCTAGCTTCTTTTGCTGCATGCGTGCAACAAAGAAAATAGGATCGAGATGTCTGCATTAGGGTTGTCCACATTGTACGGGCACAATTTTGAGCATAACACTGACGCAAAAGAATCTAGCATTATGCTAGAATAGTCATGCTATTTGAGACAAGAGAGAATAAGGAGAATAGTAGCACGCTAAAGCAAAGTCCGACTCTCTGCAGACTGACACCTTTGAAGGAGGGGGTAGAAATGTGGTGTATAGGGAATAGGGATATAAAATAAACTACGTTTTACCGTAGACTACACACAGACAGTTTCAATGCACCACGCACTCTGTCTCGACCCAGACCTCTTCTACGTAGCGTGGAGTCATAAGCGTAAGCACTGGGGTCAAGAATGAATAGTGCTAGGCCGCACACAGTGCAACGGAAGACCTTAGATAACAATGACCACTACCAGGATGGTGTTCAGCGGTTTTAGTGAAGACAAGGGTTTGGGTGGGATGCTAAGCCTTTCGCGGGCTCAAAAACCTGGTCTCGGTCATTGTTATATAAGAATTTTCGAATGCAACACAGAGTGAACGGAGTGTTTGTTACGCCATTAGTACGCAGGCTCACTCGGTCCCTGTTTATCTCCCAAGTTGAAAACAAATTGTTTAATTTTCTGGATTAACTTTCTCGTAAAGGATTCTGGGCATATCGTCCTTTAGCCTAATTTTATTAAGTTAACACTACAAAAATACTGTGAACTGCTGTAAAGTGAACTTTAATATTTATTTTAAATTAGCTCCTTCGTGGCGTTCTTTAAAAAAAATTACATTGTTTTGAATATTCATTGATTTCGGCTCATTTAATTTTTTGGCGTTTAGCACCCATTTACGACATGTTTAAAAGGTAGCGACGCACTGAGGATAACTTGAAATAGCCATGTAAGGGAACAATAACAAAATATATAAAACTCTGATGGAGAGCTACAATAAAGCGTATAAAATGCTTGTCGTAAAATCTGAATACTTACTATAAAATGTTTTGTAATCTATATTGCGGAATATTACAGTTCCCTAGATTTGTGAAGGCATAAATACCACGAGTGATACTTCAAAATTTTTATATGCCATTTCACGAGCTGTTAGGCGAGTAAAATTTGCGACAATTTTGAAATATAACGAGTGGTATTTACGCCAAATATCACGTCCAAATCATGCTATTATTCGTTTACACTACTACCCGCAAAAGGTTTGTAATTTTCACGTGTAGGTATTTCAAATTAAGCTTAAATACCACTGCTCTAAGCCAATCAAATTGCAGAAACTAGTTCTCATGTAGTAGTCACGCAGTAACCTGCTACTCAAAACTCAAAATTATTACAACACTCCCACGGGTATTTAAGAACTTCCCACGGACAAGATGATACCCACACAGGATATCAGACAGTAACCTGCAATTCCTCGCCCAGGTTCAGTAACAAAGCATGTTCCTGAGAGATCGCCGCCAGTTCCTTCAACCATTCTTCCAACACCACGATACAATAAACAGCGTTCTTCACATTCTTCGGATTTTTCCTTTTAAAGGTGTTCTTCGGAAAAGTTTTTTTCGGCGAATTCTGCCCGCCCTTCAAAGGGCTGGCAATTTTCTGAACTGTGCCTGGTTTGGGTAAATTTTCTTCGCTCAAGTCCGTTGTGCTACCATACCGTGGGCTTAAAGAGTTCAAACTCTCCCAAGACTCGCTTAACGACAGACTAGATCTTGTACTCGCACTGACGTTGCTCGCGCGCCTCTCAAAATTGGCTTTTCTCAGCTTAGGGCTCCCGGATGAGTCCAAGGATTGTTTACGTAAGTTAGGCCCTCCCTTGCTACCGAAAATCCAAGGAGGGGGACCGTCTTGCAAAAGCCGAGCTCGACTCAGTATGGAGGAGTCAGTTTTCTGTCTCATCAGTTTAGGGCTCTTTTGTTCAGTATGTTTCACCAGCTTCACTGGTTGTTGCACGTCGCTTACCACGCTTTGAATACTTGCGCGACTCTTTTCTTCGCGAAATATCAAGTTTTTCCTGGCTCGTCGGAGTAGTTTGCTGAGATTGTCAGTTTGATCCGCGATGTTCTCAACTTTTATCTTTACCGAACTAAGGATCTGAAAGAAGAAGGACACTCATTACAAAAAAATATATATTCATAAAGCTCTTCGAGGAGATAGCTAGGCTATTGCTGTTACAATAAATCAGTCACAAAAATAAATAAATAAATAATGTCATGAGTGACAAATTACTTCTTAACTTTGGCGCGAAATTGATTTGAAAGTGGGAGGTAAAACCTAAAACATCGCATTTCAACTCGTCTTGCCGCCTTATTACAAAACAGTTTTTTGTTGCTTTTGTTGCCCGTTTTACTGGAGCTTATGGGAAAGCAAAGTCTGCAATTTTTCCCTCTTAGCGAGACATCACAAGTTTTTCATATGGGAGTGTTCCCCCGACATTGTGATTTCGGCACTTTTTAATCAACATCTCATAAGCGCTATAAATGACATAAATGTCGTCTAACCTGAAACAGAGATCGCACTCCAGGTTTAAGAACCATGTTGTAATTCAGCAAAAACGAACGGAGCAGAGGTTGAGGATACAACGCAAGTCTTGACACCACCCCTGTCAGGATCAAATTGACATAGAATGAGTTCTGCGGCATCCGCTCCAATTTTTGAAAAAGCGTCGATAAAAACGGTCCTAAATCAGGGTCCACTTGTTGCTTTTTGGTTTCAGAATCATTGGTTGATTTGGACCTCTTGATTGGAATCTGCAGGTCATCTGACGCCTTCAGAGACGAACCCTTATTTGGAATGTCACCATTAGCAACGGGTGCTGAAAGGGTTGACAAATTCGAAGCAGAACGTTCTCTTTCCATTGGAGGGTCCTGTGGGGAAGGGTTTTGACCGTCATAAGGGGCGGACCAACAGCTGCATCTCATTTGACAGTCTCTAAGGAAACAGCGCGCGTCTGTTAGGTACTCCATGTAATCCGTATTCACTTCCGAATAAAGATCTTGAAGCTGTGTAGACCCGTAGAACACCAATTCACTTGATGTCTTAAGGTCTATCTTCATAGGTGTGTTAGAACTTGAGTTTAAGTTCTCGTTGGATGACGAAGGTGACGGAGATTGGCTACAACTTGAGCAGGAGATGGGAATGAGCGACAGAAATTTCGACGCGCTCTTGCTGTAAATATCCAATTCTTTGATAGTTCTTTTTTGACTGCTTAAAATGTGAGTGCACGGAATTAGATGCCTGTGGGAAAGAAACAGCAAAGTAAACAAAAAACTTAGATGGAATATTAAAAAGACGACTCACAAGTAACATTCTACTTGCAGCTGAAATAGCAGTTGAAACTTTGAACCACTTGAATGCACTCGCTTTGGGCACGTGATCAACCTGAGACAGGGCGCGCAACAAAAAAATTATACGGGGAGGTTCCGCCCCAAGGTCCAACCCATTACCCTTTTTAACCATTTTCGACAAAAAAGGGACCTCTTTTTCATGTCTTCTATGTACAAATGGTACCCCTTTCATATAACCTGTTTAGAACACTGAATTTCTTTTACCTGCTATAAAAACACTGTCTTCTTAAAAAACGAATAGATCGTGAAAGCAAGAAGTTTCCTTGACTTTTGAACCGCCAATGTGTCTGTTAGCCCTAGTAGATCCTTTAGCAGGCTGAAATGACAAATTTCTCCACCCTTTCATAGACTTCAAGTCGTGAAATTCCTATAGACACCCTTTTATTTACCTGAAGCCTGAAAAAGGTGCCCCTTTTGGACGGAGCTTCCCTGTATTCCTGAATAAGTAGGCAAGATTAAATGCCCCCCAAATTACTTGTTTTGCCATTTATTGCGTAGAAAAGTCCAGGAATCTGGTGGAAACTAGTAATTTAAATAAACTCATAAAGATAATAATATCACTTGCCAATTTTTTTTCAAAACCTCAGGACAGGCCACAGATTAATCCGAGTTCTGCGGTACGGTTACATCAGGTTGCTAGGAGTATTGTTATTCCCTCCACCTTCCCTCCCTCTACATTTCCCCAGGGTTTTTAATATCCGCAGGGTTGTCAATAGAAGGCGGCACCCGGCGATTGATCGCCGCTTACTTTGGAATTTATAGCCGCTTACTTTGTGTTTAGGTCGCTTTTCTTTGCTTTGTTTTGACACCTCTGGCCTTGCTGAAGAGCCTCCTACTTTATCAGTGATCACCTCCTACTTAAAAATCTATTGAGAACCCTGTATCCGTTCAGAAAGGAGACAGTGTGGGAAACAGGATGACAACCTGGGCTAATGCCAGCACTGAGAATTAAGATAGATGGAGAAGAAGGAAAAGAGAAATGAAATGGGGAGAAATTGAAGAGAAACCCTTCTTCCTTTGAAATCTCCTCACCCATAACTGCTAGGGGGTGGGGAGGGGGGGGGGTGGGGGCTGGTATTCAGGCTGGTAATGTCTGTTTAAAACTCACTTGAACACCAAGCTGTACATAATGTCTTCACAGTTTAGGTCCAGTAATGTATAGAATAACCCCAGCGACACAACGGAAAGCTAAGAAAAATTAAAGCAATTTAGTTATCAGAACAAAGAAAGTACACAATTGGTTCTACTTATAGCAACATGATTTTTTTTTTATTTTTTCAAACGCAACCTTGTGAATCAAAATGAGAGTTCTACAAACGGTGCAGTCAAGTGGAAAGTCTGGATTAAGATTTCAAAATCCAGATTTCCGATTTGCCATTTATTATGAAAGCCAAAAACAGATTATAAGGCCAAAAAAAACGTCCTAAGATTTCCTTTCTTTCCGCTGTTTTTGGGAAATCAGGAATAGCGTTTGAGAAACTGTTCTCAAGAACAGCGCTTAATAAATCACTTTGAGGGCAGATTATTGGCGTTAAAAGGCCTTTTTGGATTTCCTGTTTTATTGCAAAATCCAAAATCCGCATTTCAAAATGTAATCCCCTTTTTTGAATCAAGACAACAGGGGAGACTGCTTGAAGGCTTAAATATATCTTTCCTTAGGGGAAGGGTTAGAAAATATGCTCCTTCAGCCTTTTTGCCTAGAAGAACCTAATTCTCAGTCTAACTGATAAACATGTAGATAATGACGACAATGATGGAGGCAGTGTGGCTGAGCAGTTAGAGTGCTGGACTTGACAACTAAGCTTATAGAAAGATATAATAACAAAAAATCAAAACATGCTAAAAATGTAAGATGTTTTGAGTGTATAACTTACCTGGGATTCCTCTGCAATCCTAGACACTAGCAAGCCAAGAATAGGTCTGCCATCTGATCTTTCCACCATAATAAACTGCAGGAAGACTTTCATCAAGTTGGAATCAGTAATGCTGCGTAAAAACAAGTCAAGGTAGGCGGTGGCAGCTATCAAGGCCTCAGTTGACGACTGTTAAAATAAATAGTAAACCATTTAAGGAACATAACATTCCATGAGGTGTTGATGACATGTTTCAAATACACCAGTTATGCATTATCAGGTCACAGGGAACCTGAACGCTGTATTAGCTAATAATTAGCTAATACAAATAACGCTACAGAGTTTCATCCCTGCTTTCCTGTAGCCAATAAATTGAAACCCAAGATCATCTCCCAAGGAGAGTTAACTTGAGATGTAACTGCTGCATCCTATTTAGGACGCCACAGACTAGCAAACATTTTTTTGATACCGGCAAATTAACCATCTCTGATTGGATTTAAATCCCTTCCAAAACGACTCATACATAAAGATTCAGGAAACACTGGTAAACAACAAGTAACTGATTACTAGTATATTATTAGCTAATACAGCGTTCACGTTCCATAATCCGGTCAAGGATGTTCACAAAATTGTGACCATATATACAATAAACAAAGAGTGAATGCTTATTGAATAAAATGCATTGATCAGGGCTGTAACTAAGATCTAAAGTTGCTGGGTGATATATACTGTTAGTACAACAACAACAGCTTTATTTTCTACTGTAGACAGCTAAACGAATTCACAAGAAACATATTAATTTATTAATAACAATTTATGTACAGTAGTGGGACACCCAAAATAACTATAAAGCTAAACTAGTTGGGTGACCATCAGTGGGTAGGAAATTGAACAGCTGAGGAATTCTTTTGGTTCTATTTTACTTTTCTTTCCTATTCAAGTAGCTGGGGTCATACTCATAGTAGACAGGGAAATTCCCCAGCCTCTGGCCCTTACTAACAGCCCTGCAAATTCCCAGGGGTGGGAGGATGGGGTTAATTTTTGCTGGGTATGTGCCACTAGCCTCTCAGAACCCCTACCATATCATAGTCTATTCCATGGCCATATTATAGCCTACATCTTAGTCACATTCGCAATCCCAACTTAGTCACTTTCTGTTTATGCATCTACCTTATAAAGCCTTTTAACTTGGTCATCCTGAAATGAACTTACACATTTGTTTAACTTAATGTGGTGTAAATCTTTCTTTTTTTAAAATCCTACCTGAATTTTCTGACCCCCAAAATCCTGAAAATGTGCAACAACCGGAATCTAGTAACTCTTATAAAAATGCAACCTCATAATAGTCAATCCAGTCATGAAAATGCGACCCCATCCAGCGGCACATACCCATTAGCCTACTACTAGGAAGTACTCCCCCCCAGGGTGCAAATTGTGGAAGCAAATGATGTAATACAGACACAAAACTGAGAAAATTATATAAGTTAGTGCCAAATTGATTTGCTGCAGCCTTCCCATTCAGTGAGGTCAAGTAAAGGATAACATAAAAATTTAACGCATTCACATACTGAAAGAAGCTTGCTCCGTGGAGCTTGCTCTGTGAGTGATCCAGGCCTCTTAGTGAAGTTTATAAATAAATAAATAAATAAATAAATAAATAAATAGTCCACCTGACTAAGAGATGATGCCATAACTGATACAAGAAATCCATGGTAAATCAAGTCCAACAACTTGAACTGAACTTGAGGGTGGGCAATCTAAACAAGACAAGAGAAATGCGCTGAAAGTTCTGAGTGTTACTATCCCCACATGCAGGGATTTCGCCCAGGAGGTGACATCCCAAGGAGGCATCCTGGACACTTGAGCGTATATTATGGAAAGTACTTACAGACATTTGGATCAATGTTACAATCCACTTTTTTACCTACAGATCATATTACAGCCATCTTTCTTGTAAGTCAATTGCTATAATTAATCTGTCAGCATGTTTGGTCAGTGCTATCAAAAACTAAACTTTTGTGAATTTATTCGAGCATTGGTTTTCTTAAAATCATACATGATCATACCGGGTGGTCACTTATCAGAAATGCAAAAACAAAAGAATAAGTCAAATTTCTGGTTTACAAAGTAGTTGTGTTCATTAAAAAGTTTAAGTGGTGGTCGCTTACAAGAGAGTTTTTGAAACAGTATTTGACTGAGAAACAAAATGGTTGTTTTCAAAGTGGTTACTTACAGGAGGTGGCCCCATACGCAAGGTGGTCGCTATGAGAGAGTTGACTGTACTGCTTTAGCATATTAGATACCTTTAGATTCTAGGACAAGAACGACTACAAGTATGAGATTTAACGTGAAGTTTTTTGCATATTCTCAAATAATGGACACCCCGGATAGCTTCATTGTACATCTTTTTCACCAAAAATATTAGCACTGTTATCTTGATTGAAAGAGGTTAAGCCACCTCCAGCCGCAAAATAATAAAACCTCTAACACTTTATAACTTGTGTCTGCTAACACAACATTCTGACTATGACTATCACATTTTCCCGCCAAAATGACGCTGGTTTTCGTGTGCTTAGTACTTAGTATTGAGAAAATATCGCACTCATAATCGTACTCATCTTATAAGAATCTAAAGGTCCCCATTATGCAGTGGGTGAAATAATAACAACAATAATAATAATAATAATAATAATAATAATTTATTGTTAGATCTTACAGCCCCATTTTTCTAAATACCCCCATGAATACAGTCACCTCACTCTGTGATGGACACCTTTGTGACTGGCACTAGGTGTATGTCTAAGAGTGATGTCTGTGTTATAGAGAGTCAAATAAGGGAAGTCAGGAAAGGAAGGGACTGATCGAGGTGTCCATACTTAAAATGTACCTGAATAACATTGTTGCAGAACTCCAGTGACCTCAAAAAAGACACAAGCTCAGGAAACGTTGCCCACAGCCCTCTCTCCAGTGAATACCAGTCCTCAGAGGGGATGTCAAGGGAAGTTGGAAGATCAGAATATAGTGCACTGAGTCCAGTTGCCAACACCTGAAGCAAATATTGTTTATTAATATTCATACAGTCGAACCTCCTGTAAGCAACCACCAAGATGTGAAGATTTAGTGGTCGCTCCCAAGAGGTGGTCCCTTACAAGAATCAAACTTCAGGGTTTTTTTTACCCGAGTAGACATCCCACTACACACTTTTTGAAGGAGAATTTACTGCACCTTTGTTTCAAAGTTATGATATGTTTACCTGCGTTGTCACTACAAATTACTCTTATCACTCTGAGTAGTGTAGTACATACAGCAAACATAGGGATCAGACCAGGTGTCAAGTGGACGCTTATAATTCTAAGAGGTTTAAAAGAATGGAAAATATTAAAACCGTCACCCCATGGCCAAAAAGTGGTCATGGTCGCTCATGAGAGGTTCCAACAATCGTAATTTGACTGGGAAAATTTTGGTGTTCTGGATAGGTGGTCGCACATGGAAATTAGACTATATATTCTTACTCTCAGCCCATGAGGAAAATCTCTGGTGTTTTGTCCTAAAATTTGTGGCTTTCAAGCCCTAGGATTTCATGGTAACTGTGTTGTAACGGCACCGAAAAATTGTTTGGGGATCAATTAACAGAAATTCACTATTTTTCCACTCAGGCTCTTAACTAGTAGAGCAATAGTTATGTCTCGGCTTATTTTGACACGAAACAAAAACATTGTGTTTAGCATCTATCAGTTTTCTATTGTCTGCCATCTTAATTCATTCGGGAAGTGCATTGAACATTACTGGTTTATGGCTTCTAGTGCCAAGAAAAAATATATGACTTCAAAAAATTGAAATCGTTTAGGAGGTGGGTTACCATGAATTTTCACGCGACCAAAAAATTGTTTCAGATAGTTCCCATGACCTCTGGGCACAGAACCAAAAAATTGTTTTCCATGGGATTTGAAAGCCTTATAGGGCTTGGACTTCTCAGATTTCTTTGCCCTCGCAGGTTGCAGGTTTCTCCTTTTGTGAACATTTAGTTTTCAGTTTTTATAAAAACAAAAAGTGGTTTGGGGAGATTTTCATATTCGCTTCTGTTTACAGTTTTGTTCTTTTGGCACATTTGTGAAAAAAACAGCAATTTTGCATTACAACAGTTGAATGAATATATGGACTAACTTTAAAAAATAACAACAACAAAATATAAAATCATTAGTGACAAGTACTGATTCCTAAATGTGTGTTGTCCTTTTTGGACTATCACACAGGGCTGTCACTTAGATTATAAGTTACCAGGTATATAAAAATTGGAAGGCAGGGAATTGACCAGCTAGGAAGTCTTTTTGGTTCCATTTTTTTTGTTTCCTATGAAAGTAGCTGCAGGTCATGCTCATAGCACACTGTAGCTGGGGAAAATCCCTGCCTCCCAGCCCTTAGTCAAGGTCCTTGTCACAAAAACACAATGCACGACAAACAGCCCTTACGGATAAGTTTCACGGTTAGGACAATCTGATCATTTCCAATGATCAACAAAATTTCTTCAATATTCTTGTTGCAGTTTAGTGATAATTTTCATCGCTTTGTTTTCTTATGGTTTGCATTGTCAACTTCATGAACATGTCTTATGTCATCAGAAAGACGAGCATGCTTCATTTTATCTGAGTCACTATGGAATCAAATAAATTCAGTGGTAGCTTTGTGTTTACATCATGTCATGTGCATGTCCACAGCCAATCATATCCATGATATTTCTGCATAGTCACTGCACAGTACATACTATGCCATAAGACTGTGCAATGAATGCATACACAAACATAAGAACTGAACATGTAAATAATTATTACAAGTGACATGGCATTAAAACAGCAACCTGTTTGGTGGCAGAACAGGTGACAATAAAGGACACAAAATTACACTGAAAAAAAAAGGCAACTGCAAAATATGATAGTAACAAAACAGCCATGAGTGCCTTAATTCCTCTAAAATACGTAAGACCTTGGTTTTTAAATGCATACTAGATACATGCACATCCTACACCACAAAAGGATCATAGAAGTTATTCAGAATATTCACCTCAGAACTATCTATCTCACTCATAATCCTCTGATCGTCAAGTACATACAGTACAGAAATATAGTAGCTTGACAAAAATGCCAATATTGCTAACATTACTTTACATTTTCAGCAATACAGATAGTATGTCTCATTTCAAAATATGCAATTCCACTTTTGTGATACTCCACATAAATTATTCTGTCATGCTGCAATGTGCATAATCTTACACAAAGTAAACAACACTTCAGAACATAAAGTGTTCAGTTTCTTTTGCGGGTGTCAAATTTCGGACGAGTTGAAAAAATGCAAATTTAAGGCACATTGGAATAATATATCAACCTTAACATCTCAAATAGAGATTACTAATATTGGGCAGTTTGCAGGGCCAAAGACTACAAAACAGTCCACAAGCTGAACTGGAAATGCAAACACGTGTATAGTAAAAAGTAATAAAAGATAAACAGCAAAGCTTAATAAACGGAAACACACAAACCTTAACTTATTTATCCCCAGGGAAAAAAGAACATACGCATCACGCAGACAGCCTTTACTCGCTTCAAGTTGAGTGGCCAATGATAAGTGATCGCATGCATATATACGAGACGAGTAAAACAAAAGAATAACGACACCTAGTCGCAGAGTTACCAACACTTTAAAAGGAGGGAAAATGATTGAAAGTCGTATCCAACAAAAATAAACATTACTGACGTCGTATCCCGCCAAGGTTTAAAGGTGAAATACATGTAAATTTCCGTCAGAGAATTAAAACTTAGGACTTCTCTTCTGATCTTTGCTGAAGAGGCCTGTCATTAACATAAAATAAAGTACACTGTACCATAATATATACTTACAGGACAAAAGTCAGTCTCCTCTGCGATGTAAGTTCCTAAGCGAGTGTCCACAGATGACAGCGCCATGCACAACAGCATGGCGTCGCGGGACCAATTGCCTACATTTCCTTCTCGATGTACAAACGGAATAAGCAATGAAAATACAGACAACTTCGCAATCTGTCCATGTCCGTGGTTATCCAGGAAAAATAAGTCCAATAAAGCAATATCTCGATTCACACTCACGCAAAGGCCTTTCAACACGGCAACGAAATGTTCTTCCATGTCTGAGGAGAACGTGTTTACGCAAGAGTGAAGAAGATAGAGCAAGGGTTTCCATACTTGCTCGTAGATCAGCAAATGAGCTCTAGCCTTTTCTATGAGGTTCCTAAATAACCTCAGCTGTTCCCGTTTCATGTCTTTAACGCAGTTTTTGTTGGTTGCACTCCACGTATAGACTGTTTGAAACACATCATTGTCGAGCACATATTGTAAACAAGGCCCGGGGTCTCCGTCCTTTTCGTCCACCAAAACGGATACAATTTCATTCAAATGATAAACTAAAATATTGCAACGCTCCTGGTGTCCAACGGTCTTTTCGTCCAGAGCTATTATCGCCTTAGCATTATTCCAATGAACGTCTACAAGCCTCAAATATTCCGTGCTACCCAAATCCACAAACCCCTCGCCCACATGCTTCTTCTCGGCTTCAGAACTTGGCGATTGAAGAGGAGACAAAGACGCGAGTTTCTTAAGTAAGCTCATAGTTGTAAAGCATATTTAAACCCTCCATAAGCTGTCATAATAAATCGTTTGTGCGGATAGAGCTCTGCTAAGTTCATAAGCATCGCTTAGCCGCCATCTTGAATATGATAAACATGCGACATGCACGCAGGATGATTGACAGCAACACAATGACAGAGCAACATTACCATGATTACCCCATTACCGCGTTCCGCTTCGCACGCCACTACGCGGTTTTCTAAATCTGTAAGTACACATGGAAATAATGTATAGATTCAGCCTGTGAAGATGCTCTCTGTTAATATTTAGAGTTTACTCAAACAAAATATAAAATCGTGTAATGCTAAGCGGCGACGGCAACGCCACGGCAAAAAAAATCAATTGGTCTTTTATAGTAGTAGAAAATTAGCAGCAGAAAAACAACTTCACATGTGCAGCACACTTTTTTGTCTTCATTTCTTTGCCGTTGTTTTGCATGACGCAGCTTGAAACTTCCAGAAACTTCCTAGTTTAATACACGTTTTATGAAAGAACTGCTGTTCGTTTTTTTTAAGTCACTGCCGCTCATTTTCACCTTGCTGGCCTCTAGTCTCCTTTGTTTTCTTTTTATTGCTCTCGCTGCGCTCCAGCTGTTTCTCTGTTATTCACGTCAATATAGACATTTTAAAAAATTTAGTGGTAAGAAAGTCTCGGCTTTGCTGTTACTTAATTTTTCTCTCTAAAAGTCCTGGTGGCCATGCGATTTACCGTTCAAAACGCGCGGATGCTTGAAATGCAAAATTTCTCCCTGGAATGGATGTATAGATAGCCCAAATTTCTCTAATACCTATGGTGCTATTTAGTGCAAATCATGCAAGTTCATTTTCATTTTTAGTGTAAAATGGCCAGTCTAAACGGACAGTTCTAGTTTTTGGTGACCTCATAATGGTCAAATCGGCATGATAAGTGCAGTACTATTCCGTTTGGGAAACTCAACCCTCCCGGTCCATAAATTTGCCTAGCTTATTAGGCCACACCCCCCTCCCCCGAAGGGTTGCGTACCCCCGGCTCAGTTTTATCTCCTGGAGCAATTTTAACGCGGCATTGCTCTGGAGAGGACAACTCTGCTTGCGGTTTTAAGAGATTTGGCCGAAAAAATATACAGCAGATCTTTTCTGACCAGGAGGCTTACTCTTTATCCTGGATGTCAAAGATTTTATTCTCGAGTGCATTCGGTGACCGCCACAGGGTGCAGTTCGACACACTTCGGCCGAAGGCCGAACCGCGAGAGAGACTAAACTGAAATCGGAAAACGCGCATGATGAAAAGCCACTGGCATCCAGTGCACTAGTTTTTCGTTTGTGTTAGGGGATTTTAAGGCTTAAGTTTAACACGATAATTATTTCTTTGACCTTCAAAGTGTTTCGAACAGTCCCTCACCCACAACTTTTGAACGCTGTTGAGCAGTTAAACAAAACTTAACAGTTGTGAAACACTGAAGAACAAGAAATTAAGAGCTTATTTTTTGCAAAAGAATGCTTTAAAGAAGTTTTTTAACTCACGGAATTCAACTGTATCGTCATTCAACAAAAGGTGAAATGACTTTATTTTATATTCTAGAGGAAAAGACTCTAAGTTTGGGAATAAGTAGATTGCTAAAGAGAGCCACGCCTAAGGAGAGTTGCGTTATTCTGCTAGATTTCTCTTGAGAGACACAAGTTTGTTTTTTAGTACTTCTATATCAGTAATTAGCGTGGAGTATTTACTCTCCTCAAAACAAGATTCTGTAGAACTTTCTCTTGAAGGTTCTCCCTCCCGGTTTGCTTCATAATGTAATCGCTGAGAATCTTTCATTGGCCCATGATCATCGTCATCATCATCACTGTCATCAATTACTTTAACTTCCGGCGTAGAGCTTTCTTCAACTGAAGCCCGGTTGTGGCTATTTATTGCCCCCTTCTCCCCTCCGCCGCTGCCGTTGCTCAAAATGCTCCGAAGCCTTAACATCAGAGTCTTGATGTCTTCTAAGTCTCCACCCACAGTCTTAAATACGTTTTGTAGCATTTGCAGTTTATCGCGATCGTTTAAATGTGGGTCCATTTCCTCGGTTCCTTCTGGCAAACCGCCGGTTCTTTCATTGGCCTCTTCTCGGCTTTCCGATAATGACGAATCTGAGCCTTGAGACTCATGATCACTTTGCGGCTTACATTTTATGTGGTTTTGACGACTCTTGCTGTGAAGATTTCCAAGTGCTTGGCAGTCAAAATTATTTTCCACACTGACTTCATCTGATTGGTTAGTTTTACTGTCCAGTAGCTCATCCGAAGTAGGATCCCGTTTCTGGTCAAGCGACATGACGAGAACACCTGGTTATATTATCAATTAACGACACAATTTTTTTAACAATCAATCTGAATGCTTCGAATGACCAACGTAACAAACAATACCAAAACACGTCATGAAGCCTATCGCGCGCTCGCGAGATCAAACGCCTTCCCCACCCTGGACGGGCCTTAATTGTGGCAATATGTTCGAAAGGTGACCAGTCGTTTTGCATACAAGTCGTTTAGCTAACGTCTTATGTCGTTCGGCTAAGAAGCGAAACGAGCACTGCACATGTATATGCTTCGTTCTCTCAGCCACAATACAAAACAGTGCGATACGTACGTATATACCTCGTTCTTTCAACCACTGATCAGGTGAAAGCAGTTAGGGAACTGACCCAACACGTACGCGAAACGAATTCAGAAGTTAGTGAACAGGACGTTGGCGAAACGACTCGTAGGCGAAAAGACCGTAAACTCTTTATTTCCCTTTGACAGTCTCTACGTTAAAAAGTAAAGTTTTAATCATCGTTATTATAATTACAATGTGAGAGACAGCAAGGACTGAAATGATTGAAAATGTACTTAACCCTTTAAATCCTTCTTAGCTCTCATCAAATATACTGTACGTGTCTTGAAATCCACAGGTTCATTCCGTTATGGCCTTCATGATAACGCAACAAGCAGAAGGCGTGAACCCAATAGTTTCTACTAGTCATAACTTAAAACTTTATAGCCTGACTATATGGAAATAATATCGGGGAGCGAGCGAGTGAACGAAGGGCGAAGCCGTGGGGAAATTTGAAAATGGCAAGAAGACCGCCAGCTGCACAGGTTAAAAACTATCCTGCATTCCCGCTTACCAGGCGCTTGAAAGTACTATGAGCACAAGAAAGAAAGGGCCACGCGCCCTCGTTTCCGTGCTATTCTCTTTGTGGCTTGGCGCTTTTTTGCTGTTTTTTTTTTCCCTCTCGCTAAACAAACCGCCAGCCATGCAGGCTACTCACTGGTAAACATCCTGTGTTACTAACAAATAAAAAGAGACAAAGAGTAATACTTTCTTGGCCTCCTTCTCGGCTGAGCGGCACAGTTACATCACACAGGTTTCCTAGTCTCCAAGCGACTATTATTTGTCTCGTGACCAAACGCTCTAGTGTTGCGTGATATTGCGTGACGAGACACATAAGGGCTGCACGGGAAACTACGTGTTCCTGGAAATAATAAAACTGTATCCTCAGTTGATAAGTCAGCTTGGAAGCACGGATCACGGTGATGACCAAGTTCCATAATCTTATCCGTGACACAGCAAAGCGAGCAATTTTTGTCCTTTCAAAATGTCAGCCAAGTTTCAACGACTTTTCTTTTTCCTCTTTTTCACTGGTTTATCATCATCACTGCTGTCAGACTCATGATCTGAACTGCTTTCACCGCTACTGCTGCTACTGCTACTGTTGTCGCTAGAAGAACTGCTGCTTTCCTCTGAGGAGTTACTCTCATTGCTGCTATCTGTGGTTGAAGACTCGTCGGACTCATCACTTTCATCTTCACTTTTACCGCTGCCTTTCCTATGGATAAAGAAATAAAATAATGTGGCTTTGCCCAAGCATAGTGGTGTTTATCTCAATACAGTCAAATCCCAGGAATCCCTGGGGGTACTTTAAGAATTGTATGGGTGGGGATGTGCTGCTGGAACCCCCCTGACTATCAGCCTATACCAGACCTGGTTCAGCTCAATTTCATTACACTGTACTGGACTGAACTCCCAAAATCCCTAGAGTTCTAGAGAGTCCTAGAGTTGTTATTTTCCAGAAACTACTGAGGTCAACACTTTCTTAACTATTCAGCTGAGTTGCGGTAAATTTAAATTTGCCGATTTAATTTTAAAGTGTCAAAAAGAGATAAAATGCAACATTGGAGACCTTTTATTCAAAAATGAGGACAACTATCTATGAGGACAATATTTCCCAATACTAAGTGGTGTGCACACGTATACCAGCACTATTTAGGTAGGAAATTTAGGGAAAATACACAACAGGTTTAAGCAAAAATGTGATAGGGGTAGAAACAAGTTATCAAAGGTTAGAAGTTTTATGATTTTGTGATCGGGAGAGGGATCAAAAGGTGAAAAACAAGTACAATAGAGCTTTCTGGGATGTATATTTCATAAGAATACATGAAAAAATTCAAGTGAATACTTGTCCTTGTAATAGTCCTTGTCCTCAAATATAAAGGTCCCTATTATCAATAGCCTCCCACACAGATGTTCTTAGGGTTTTGTCACTATTGTACGCCTGCTACGCCTGGACATTGACAGCAGACATCCTAAAGAAACTGCAGGCCACTGAGATGAGATGCTTTAGGAAACTGCTTGGCATCTCATACAGAGATCACATTACTAACAATGCAGTCACAGACAGAATCAGGCAAGTCATTGGACCCTCTGATGATATTTTAACCACAGTAAAGAAACACAACTGAAAGTGGTTTGGGCATGTATCAAGATCATCAGGGCTTGCCAAGACAATTTTACAAGGAACAGTGCAAGGAGGGAGAAGAAGGGGCCAACAATAGAAGTGTCGGGAGAACAACATCGCTGAATGGACAGGGTTGAAGATTTGCGACGCCGTAAGAGATGTTGAAAACAAAATAAAATGGAGGGAGAGGGTTGCAACGTCTGTGGCACCCCAATGGTCATTGACTACAGGATAAGTGCAAGTGTGCATGCAGGATTGCGTGACGAGCCAAAAAATTGTCTGTGACAACTTGATTCTGTGGGTTCACTCCTACTTGTTCCTGTGGTGTGAGAGAGAGGGGGAAGAGTAAGAGAGAATCCTGGAAAGAAGGTTGTGTCTGTGTGGGAGGCTACATTATTAACATAAACATGAGTCAAATGACTAAGATGTTGGGATACCTTTTGTTTGCTGTTTTGTTCTCTGTTTCAATGACCTCACTAGAAATAATTAAGAAAAACAGCAAATTAGGAAACATGCATCAGAAGAAAACAAAGGATCTCTGACTCTTTGGATCCAGTTATTAACACCAAGAGTTCATTAGCAACTGGATAATTAATTAGCAACTAATTAGCAACAGTGTTTTGACTGGCTTAGCCAACAGGGCAGAAAATCAGTAAATCATGCCCCAGAAAAAGTCATCATTAACCACTCTTCAGATTCTTCTTACAAAATGAAATTAGTAGGTGGCAGGTGAGGTGGTCAGAAAATGATTCAACAAAATAATGTGTTACATTGGTAGTGTAGTGAGGACACACCATTCATGTTACAACTTTTATTCAACCACCTCCACCTTGAACACCTATCCTCTTTGTACCTCTATGGCACATAGGACCTTCACAGAGCTTTTCTAACTCTCTCTGACAGTCATTTCCTTCTTCTCACATCTCATTCCAAGACCCCCAAGCCCCTTCTCCCTTTACTTTTTTCCTCTGTCCTCCTCAAGGTAGTTTTTGGTTTTCCTCTTTGTCTCCTTCCATTTGGTTTCTAGGTCAATGCTACATTGTAGTCACTGTTTTGGTCTTGTCTCAGGATGTGCCCAACCATTTTCCATCATGTTTATGCAATTCATCACTAAGTGCCTTCATTCCTGCTCTGTTAAGCAACTCCCCTTTTGTGACATGGTCTTGCCATCAGATGTGCAGGAAAGGGAATTTTATCTGCCAACTGAGATACATCATAATGCATGTGTCACATGACCCCCAATAAAAAACTTCCTTAACAAGCTTTCAGTTCACACACATGACTTACAATAATTTCATTCAGTAACCATTAGGGTGAAAAGCAACCAAATAGGTGACACTGGATATCTTACCAAGATATTTGCAACCTCAGCATTATTTGCATGATTTTGGCAATATGGTACCGAGATTTAACATTCCACAAATTTTGTCAACTCGTGAAAATCACTGGAATATCTTTGTACCAGTTGGAAGTCATCAGAATGGTTTTGGCACTGTTTGGAAGTTGTTGGATTGTTTCACACGCATTTAACTTAGGAAAAGTTGGAAGGTTTAGAAATTTTGGTGCTTGGCATAGTTAGTAGAGTTCCACGATTCTAGTCGCACACTCACTAAAGAATTCTAAAAGTAGCCCCTCCAGTGGTGTAGTATATCGAGCGACTATACGGCTTAAATACTTTCAAGGAACACAATGAGTCAACAAGCACATGGTTCGGACAAAAAGAACAAGGAACACGACAGGGGTCACGTGACCCCTAACAAGTTCCCAGGACCGCACAGTTGGGGAGGGTGGTCACCAAACGGCTGAAGGACTGGAGGAAGCTGATGACCATAAACCCCAAGTTTGGGCTGCCCATGATCTACCAGTTCTCTCCTGAGTTTCTCCAAGATGGCAAAGGAGTTTTCCGCGCTGTGTGATCAGACCCAAATTATCAGTGTGTTTTGTGATCGGGGCCAAAGTAGTAGGCGTGATTGGGCATAGCAGCATGATACTTGATTTTCTATTTTCACAACCTGTGATGCATGCATGATTTTCCTTTGAAATTTCTGTGATGGTCAATATCATTATTTTGAAACTAGAAGCAGAGATAGTTATGACACCAACTTCTTCCCATTTTTTTCACGTTTATCGACCTCTGATTTCATCAGATCAAATGATAATAGGATACTTGTTAATGTAGTTAATATTTTATTTTTCTGTGATGCGTGATAGCTTCAAAAAAGAGGGCCTGATGGGTGATAGGTACCCCACCCCCAAACCCTTTTGTCATCCTGTTTCTCGTTAATTCCCACCATCATGTAAAGAAATTTTAATTCTTTACCGAAATAATCGCTGAGCCTACCTGTTAGTTGAATCAGTATTTCCTTTCTCAGATTTCATCAATTTTATTTTCTTTTTTATGACAGCGGTTCTTGAATCTCTCTGTAAGTACTTGCGTTTGTTGGTACATTCATACGTCCAATGGCCAATTTGTAAACACTTCTGACATCTTTGATTTCCCGCCTGTTGTTGCCTTAAAACGCAAATTAAAATGTTTAAGTAAATGGAAAGCTGTCCCAAGTAGACTTAGAAGGGAAGAATGAATGCATGTCAGATTTTCTGTTCTAGGAAGTTTTCTCACCGTTTTTTGTCGAGAGTGTAAGACCTCGCTATGGACGCCATCTTTGTTAGCCACTAGTACCCAGGTCTCCCATGTGTGTTAAAAGGAGCGGGCGCACAGGCAGTATCATGAAAGCATAGCCTCAGTCAACGTCACAGGGGCTATGCTGGTTCATAAAAAACGTTTCTCCCCTCTGAGAACGAGACTCTTAGGGCCTGTTTACATGAAGGCATGGGGGATCCCAGGTAGGTGAGGTAACCCACCTGTCCATATAATCTCTCATTTTAATTTGATCATTCAGGAGAGGTGACCCCTTGTCGGTTACCTCACCTACCTGGGGTCCCCCACCTCCATGTAAACACGCCCTTAAACTTTTATTGTTGGTGAAACTTATGTTGGAAAATGCCCTGGGTGCCAGAGACGTTTCATGCATGGTCTTTAAGAGTGACCTGCTTCGCCACTTGTGACTTCAGCCTCCAAGGGAAAACACCACACGTGAGAAAAGGCCTCTGATATCCAGGATAGTGAGAAAACGATCAGTATAAGATTCTTAGAAACTGTCCACCTACCCCTTCCTTCAACCAAGGTTCACACAAATTTCTTACTAAGGGCAAAGTGTTGTACTAATCCCCTTGTTACATGGTTGCAAACCCTTAGTCCCTTTCTTGCTTGTCTCCCTCCGAATCCCCCTCCACCCCCGCACTCCCCACTCACAGTCTAACATCACAACAAGCCTGCCCCGCTGACAACTTAGCAAAACTTGATTGAGCTAGTACAAAGCACCAGTCTCACCATAAGATTATTGGAAAGAACAATTCAACGTTTAAATACCAAACATTTTGTACATATATTTGCCTTCAGCTTATCACAGTCATAAATGCACTTCTTCAACTTTATCTACTGACATCTATTTACAAGTACGCTGTGGCAGGAAGTATTCACATGACTTTGTCAATGGACTTATCATTCAGCTGTAAGTACTTCAGGGCCACAGTTACTACTGACACTTGTTATTAATCACAGGAAAGACTCTAACTGATCAAAAATGAAATGGACAGAAAGGAGGCAAATGCAGCATTATTTTACTTGCTGCTGGAGAAAACGTCTCTTTTTTCAATAGTGACTTTATGATTTGACTTCGAGTACGAGATCGAGTACAAATACGACTTTGGAATTTCTAGCAAGTTTTGTCACTCCTGTCTGTTACTAACCAGGACATAGAAAGAAAGACATAAAATTGTTGTGACAAACGCTCATCTGAAGCTCATGAAATTGGTTTGAAAATTTGTACTTAACTCAATCTGATACTTGAAGTCCAACCTATAGCCTGTAAGCAAGCTCTATGAATTAAAGTGAGCGAAGTGAGCCGCGAGAAAACACGTGAGCAAGTGACAAAGCCACGAACAAAGGAGGAGGAAAACTTCTTTCCATGCTCCTCGCACTTGCATCTCCCTTTGCATTCTGGCTTTTGCATAACTCTGTGCGACTACCCCAAATAGATAGCTTGCTTTTAGGCCATCCAATCTACAGGTCTCATAACTCAAGGTAACCAGATCATTCCTGAGAATACTAACTTCCTACTGATTCAATACAAAGTGGTAAAATCATGACTAAAATGCAACAAAATGTAACTAGAAAATGTAACACTTAAATACTATGATACTGAACTCCTCTAAATAATGGTCTCTAACATAGAATACAAGCAGACTCTCTTTTTGGCAATTCTACAACTGGACTGTGACTAAGACTTCATGCCCCAGGGTATGCGATTAGTAGGCAGGAAGTGAAAGAGCTAGGAAGTTCTATTGGTTCTAGACTGGAACCACAGGACATGCATAGTGTCCGCATTAACCGGGTGTCTGTATTAAGGAGGTTAATTTTATACAAAATATATGAGCTTTTTCTTTGTTGGAACAAACAAAACTGTGAATTATAAATGGATATCCATATTAAGTGGGTGTCTGTAGAGCGGGGTTCCACTGCATTTTCTTTTTGTTTCCTATGACAGTAGCCAGAGATCATGCTCATAGTCATCAGGGAAAATCCCTGGCTTCCAACCTTTAGTGACAGCCCTCCTACAAGCACCACTTCAAATTCAGAGACTGCTTGCAATCTACATGTAGTCAAACTAAGGCTTTCTGTAATAATCATAATTATCAACATGTACAGTTTAACACATTTCAACTCATAAAATTACATCAACATAATTTTCATGTAAAAAAATGGAAGAAAATTGCAAGCCAACACTTAAATATTCTTTACCAGTGATGAACTAAAGGCATAATTATTCACAATCCAGAAAGGAAATAACTTAAAACATTAAAAAACATCTCTCCCATTGGCCGAGAGAAAAAAAACGTTCATATTCTTCAGGGTTCACAACTCCAAAATCATTTCATTCTATTATACTTTCCCACCTCTAATAACAGTAAAAAAAATGACTATTCACTCATCAGGGTCAAAAGAGGGTAGAGAAGCACTCTTCAGAATTGCCTCCATTGGACAGTTCAGTGGTTTTTGTAGCAAAAAGGAGTGTGGAAAGATCACTAATATTTATATAATATTACCTCAAAAGAAATAACTCATTTTTTATCTCCTTTCAAGTAATTCAAGTGAATCTCAGATGCGCAGCTTCACCATGTTAACCAGGATATGAATTTGAAAATGTTTTAACCTTGTGCCCTTTACAAGAGCAAAAAGTTCTTGGGTTTTGCATACTTTCTTTTTCAATGAGTGCACCAAAAATCTTTAAGGCCAAATTAACTATTGAGTCAATGAAATGTTGCAAGGACTGATGCCCAAATATTTCTGCACTATACATAGTTCTAAACCGAAAAGTCTTCATTCAGACAAAAAAGACAGTAATTTGTAAACAAACTTGAAATGTTTTGGTAAACAGGAGTTCTTTCAAGGACCAGCTTTTCCTGCCTTCTAGGAGAGTCCTTCTTGGAGGGAGATGAGTAAACCCTCTCAAGCAAAGATCAGTAATGAACAAAACATGAAGTTTAGTTCTAACTTTTAAGTCTGTGGAGAAAAAAACCTATGGTGTTCAATGAGATCTCTCACACTGCACTTTCACATGGTTCTGTTATTTTATTTCGTACGTAATTCTAACTTTTGAGTCTGTGGAGGAAATCTTATGGCGTGACCATTCAAATGGAACCTTTCTCACAGTACTTTCACATGGTTCTATTAATTTTGTTTTGTATGTAATTCTAAGTTTTGAGTCTGTGGAGGAAATCCTATGGTGTGACCATTCAAATGGAACCTTTCCACAGTCCTTTTACATGGTTCTATTTTTTTTCTAAGTAATTCTAACTTTTGAGTCTGTGGAGGAAATCTCATGGTGTGACCATTCAAATGGAACCTTTCTCACAGTACTTTCACATGGTTCTATTTATTTCATACATAGTTCTAACTTTTGAGTCTGTGAAGGAAATCCTATGGTGAGACCATTCAAATGAAACTTCTCTCATGGTACTTTCACGTGGTTCTACTTGTTTGTACACAACTCTAACTTTGGGTCTGTGGAGGAAATGCTATGATGTGACCATTCAAAGAAAACCTCTCTTGCAGTACTTTCACATGGTTCTATTTGTCTGTTTTCCAGAATTAATTTTTGCAAAATGTAATCTGCCAGTTTCCTTAATTTTGATTTTGTGTTTTACATTTGGGGACACAGGGTTAAAGGAGCTAAAGACAAAGTGCAACTGGTGTGTAATCCACAAGTCCATAAATGCATTGCCTCAAGCAATAACCACTCTAAAATTTAAAGCCTACGATACATCTATTTACAAGCCCCATTACGAGGGTTGAGATACCTCATGTGTACATGATAAGAAAGCACTGATTGTAATGATAAATTTCTAAGCTTGCAAATTAGGATGATCAACTAAGTTAGATGTTGAACTTGATTGATCTTCTCTTTCCCAATAGACCTCTGCACTGACATGTAACACACGGCCAGACCCACCAGAAACACTGGAGCTTTCTGAAAAGAATCAAGTTAAAACAATACTGCTGTTAGTTTCAAGAGAATGGCTTTAATTCTTGACCTGCAAGTAGTACTTCTTTTAAGATTGGCACAACTGAGGCTTGCCCTTTCTGTGAGTCATTATGGCAGGGACTAACTTCAGGAAGGAGTCTACTGATAGGAAGCTGGCTGTAATATTCAAGAAAGCTTCAACTGGAAGTTCCAAATTTGAACCAAAATATTTTCTTTTAACCTCCAAGATCCTGCTTTTAATTAACACTGACTTTCACACTCAATACAGGACAGAATGCCAATTTCCTATCCATCACATCAATAACAGCAACTGGATTTCAAGAAGAATTATCTTCAAACCAGATGCAACAAGAAATTGATGTTCTGGTAAATAAGTGTGCAAAGAAAGTTGAGTGCAATAGCCTAGTGCTGCCAGGTGAATTTTGTTCTTCACTTTCATGATGGGAAATGAATTTTTTTTTTTTTGGCGGGGGTGGATTCAAATTATGGAAGTACTGTAAGACAAATTGTTAAAATTCCTAATGAATTCATGTGGATTAAAAGCTGCTTTTTAAGTTGATCTCACAAAATGAAATTCCTGCTTTATTATTACAATGAATTAATAAAGCAATTAACTAACTCTCTGGTTAGTAGATACTAGCTACAGAATGAGCTACAGCTTGCTCAAAGGGCAAGGTGTAAAACTACCTTTCTTTGCACGCCTGAAATTTGTTAACAATAACATGCCTCGAATCGATCCCCATTACATGAATGGGTGAAACTTGGATTAAGCTACCTGATTTGATACCATCCTGTCATCCATCCTATATGACCACCTTGTTAACAGCAGTTAGTACAATCTGCTTTTTTTGTGGCCTAAAAGTGGACATCTTAATGGGAACTCTACTGTATTAACCCTTTAATCCCCAAGCTCCATATACAAATTCTCCACATTTATCTCCATACATTCCCTTTAAAAATAGTTGAGAGAAGTTGGTTTAAGATCAAAGCATTCTCCCTTTGGTAATCAATTTAGTAATTCTCATAACCTTTACACTTGATGATCTGCTGATGTTGTTAGGAGAACATTGATGTTGGTCACTCTTGAGACCAAAAGGGTTAAAAGCAGTACATACCTGAAGTGTCAGAACTTGGCCTACGTTCACTAACTGAAGGTTCAATTTCATTCATCACCACACCCTGGTTATCAGCAGCCGTGTGATGATCTTCCTGCTCAGTAGTAGCAATTTCTACATCTCTGCTGCGAACCTCATCACTGGCCTAAAGGTTACCACGGTAAAGGAGGAAAAAAGGGAACTAAATTACTGAAAACAAAATTCAACCCTTCAAGTAATATACATGTTGCAGGTCAAAATAAATTCAGGTCCAAATGGTTTCATCGCAGTTATATTCTCACCTCCTTTCTTTCCTTACCCTAATTATTCTTGACCATGAACAATACACTATTTTCACACAATGCAACTTGTTTACCCCAAAATTGCATAACCATTGTCTTCGACTTCTCTTGTGGCAACAGTAATACCCAGGAGAAATTAGGGCCTGTTTACATGAAGGTGGGGGACCCCAGGTAGGTGAGGTAACATGTGGCGGGTTACCTCACCTAACATGTAAACGTGATCACATTAAAATGAGAGATTATATGGACAGGCGGGCAACCCCACCTAAGCGGGTTACCTCACCTACCTGGGGTACCCCACCTCCATGTAAACAGGCCCTTAGAAATAACGGTTATGCAAAATTGTGTGGCCAGGGTAAACAAGATGCATTTATGGTCTATGTGAAAATGGTGAATTGGGAATAACAGACAAAGGATATATTTCTTGGCTTATTTTATGCCAAAAATTTGTCTGTGACTCCAAACAAAGCTCTGGGTGCCATTTGGAATAAGTCTCAGAGCTGTCAATAAGATTTCAAGTCGCCAGGTATATAGCAATTTACTTATAGGCAGGGAATAGAACTGTTAGAAAATCATCTTGTTCATATTTTCCCTTTGCTTCCTATAAAATAACTACACCTACAAAGGTAAATATTCGAGCACACCAATAACTGCTACTATACAAATACTCACAACTCCCAATTCTTTTAAGATGTTGAGTTTACACATTGGACAGGTCCTGTGCTCTACCAACCATGGATCAATACACAGCTTGTGAAACTCATGCCTAGAGAGGTACATGTCATCACAAAGTTACAAACCATGCACAATCAAAGTTGTCATAATATATAGTTTGAAGTTACTTTAAGAAAGTTAAGAAAAAGAATCTCAGGGCAAATGGGGTCTTTCAGTAACAATAACGGTTTGGAATATTAGCTCAAAAGCAGAGGAAGGTATGGAAAATGTATGAAAATTTATTTATTAACATTAGGCTTTGGAGCACAAAATAAACTTTCATCTTAGTCATAACCACGTTTTCAGGTGTCTTATGGTAAATGCAGTATTTGAAGAATCAGGATTCCACAGTCTGCAGCATTTTGTCTCGAGTTTCATTTCATGGGAACACAGCCAACAGGCCTAATTGAAACATTACACTATCAAAATAGTTTTTCACATACACAATGCTGTAAATTAAATATCATGGGTTACAAGTCCAACTAACAACAGTGCCTTTCAAATACAGTAAACAGTAAGTGGCTGTAGTCGTTCAAATGATGGATATCAGTATCCACCAGATATATCACTATCCAGCAGATAAGTATTAGGACAAACATAAACTTTTTTTGCGCTATCCACTGGACAGAGATTTATTTATCCCGTGAATAGCATTATCCACATTTTGAACAACTTGGGCCAGATCTACATTTATATCAAAAAAAGGAATCAGTCTGACTACAGGTAACCACACACGCTGAGATTTTTATGGTTACTGACACAAAGAAATAGAATTGTTTTCCAAAATAATAATAACCATACTACTTACTGGCAGGGCAATATACGGACCACATCACTTGCTTTATAACCATCTAAACACACTGCACAGTTGTCTGATTCATCATCTTCTGTCTAAAAGCAAAACAAGACATATTATTTTAATGGAACGCTTGCATAAAAGCAAAACTCTCTACAACAATCTTGTAAAGTTGTGTTTTTAGAGGACTTAGAGTGATTACTAAGATCATTTTGACTATTGCAATTGTGTTAATATTGTGATGGCTGAGGTGATACTTATGCTGCACTGTTGCAATAGTGAATTTACTATTGCTGTAGTTGTTATTCAAGTAATAATCAAGAGAAGTATTATTTATTGTTGGAGACATTCTACTAGCCACCAGTTTTAACTCAGACAAGACTCTGGGATTGTTCCTTTGGGGTTAAAACCAACATGAAAATCAACTTTGGGTATCAAAACTGAGATCAAAACTGACATAGAGTACAGAATGAAGCATAGACAAACATAATATGTGATAGCAAAGGTCAAAATGACTTGAAGCAAAGCCGCAAATAAAAGCTGTTTCTATAGAAAGAACTAGAAAAGAAGATGGTAAAAGTTGATGACTTACATGAGATCCGTTGATGTGGACATAAACAATGTCAAAATTTATAGTAAGGGTTTGAAATGTTACTTTTATTATTGGGCTTAAAAGGAAAACTTAGAACAGACATGAATACAGTCTATTTTTACCCAACATGTCACTTAAGTTATGATCAGTGACCTCAGATGTCTATTATAAGAAATATTAACTTACTTCAATTTCCTCTTTCATATGTCTGCGGCAATAATTCCTAATTTCTTGATAACTTTGATTATTTTGTTTGAAAATTAGTTGTTAAAGCCAGTCTCCAGAATGGGTTCCAAACCAAAAGTTGAAACTAAACCTAACAACATTTTACTTATCCTCGTGAACAAAAACATTTAGGACATTGATGCTTAGGTTGCACAGTTTCAATAGTTATTATTTCCAACAGTAGAAATGTTTGTGAATGGGAATTTTCTTACCAAATTCACTACTGAAACTAATGATGCACAAAAACTGATAATGATAATTTTTCACTGAATTAAATGCAAGCACCTGGTTTAGCATTTAGAAATAAAGACACGTTCCTCTTTTCTAAACATAAGGAAAGCAATTAATGCATCATTTGGATATCTTGATAGGAACAAAATGCATATAATGTGATGTGAGAACTCATTAAACTAATATATCAAGAGTATTTTCCCACACATATGATAATGGTCTAGAATCATATCTAAAAACCCTCTACATTGATCCTTGTGCTAACAAAGTCTTCTTTTTTATACAAATATAGCCACTTTTTTACCTTCTTGCTGACTGTGCGGGTCGGAAGCTTGGCTATAGCTTTCTTTGCAGCTGAAGTTAGACGTTTCTGTGAAAAAAAAAACAGATAAGATCACATATGGAAGATTTGACCACATAAATTGTGAACTAATAATATAACAACAATCAAATCAACACTTGTTTGGTTTTTTTGTTTCTATAACAACACCAGTTAGTTTCAATATTGGTTCACTACATTAAGGACTTATATACAAGTCCCAAAAGAAAGTTACCAAGAGAAAAATCTAGCAGACAATTTTATTTTTAAAAAATCCAACATATTGTGTGGGTCTGTTCAGGGAAAGCAAATGAGCATGTAATAAACACCTACAGGTGCTTTTAATAGATCAAAATTTTTAATAAACAGCCACATTAATCATTGAGGCAACACCACTGGGATTTTTCCCTTTTTTATGAGCCTTTCAACCATAAAAAAGGCATCTCAAAAATTGAAAAATACCACATTTTCTTCTATTGCCAAAATTACATAATCACCATGTTCGGTTGGGTCATAGACTGGAAACGTAGAGAAAAATAGTAATGAACACGATTTGTTGGCAATGCTGAGGCCAATCAACAAAGCAATCATCAAAGACATTTTCCAAAATAAGGTTACCTCTACAAACACACTTGCATCTGTTGCCTGTGCCTGTCTTATGCAAAAAAGTACACTTTGCAAGCCTAAAGGATTTGATAGCATTCTTTCTTGCAGCTGTTTGGAAAGACAGGTGTATATAGAAGTCTATGTGATTTGTGGTTGTCCAGATTTCACTCACATCTCAAGTTTTAGATTATTTAAAAAGATGAAACTTGCCAAAAAATAGTATTAGTCTTTTCACAAGGCTTTGACTTTCCTTGTTCACTAAACACGAGGACAGTAAATCTTAGAGGACAAATTAGTTACGGTGTACAAACTTTCCATCAAGCATGAACATTCACAGTTTACATTACGTAATCACAGGTGACTTGAACCAACAAAGACTACCGTTATTCCACAACAAGCAAAAATCATGTTACAAACATGACAACTTTATGTGTACCAAGCAGAAACCCATCTGACAGCTGCCGTAATTTAACACTGAAGCAATTTCCTATGTCAAAACTTGTCCTAACCAAAGTTGTAAACCGCACATTTGTAAATGAGAATCCCCTAGCTTTAATTTCGACCACCTAATGCTACTACAAAAAAGCCATTCCAACCGGCTAGAGAGATGCACCGTTTAAAACACCTCAATCTTCCATAATGAGCAGCGTGCAATATTTTTCCGGGCAAATGTTGGTTTCAAAAAAATGCCACATCTACGGCCCTGAGGCAAATGAAAACAAACACTGGTATCACCTTAGTTTTCACATTTGCCTTGACAGTGTTTTAAGTAAGCTAAACAGAAGGAAAACCATGGGATCATTTAACTTGAATACACAGACCACCAAAAGCGGTTCAGTAGGGATTTCTGCTACAAACTTGTTTCATAACAATGTAGAGTGATTAGTTTTGAATGCAATTTCCGTGACGCAGAACCTTTCAGAATTCCAAACCCGTTAATTACGAAGACCGAAGGAGGAAATATACCACAGAACTGCAAGTCAACAAACACTTGCTTTGTTCAAGTTTTTGCAGTCCGTGAATGGTTGATAAACCAATTAAACAAAGTGTCAAGTGACAGAAACTTGTGAATATAAAAAACCAAAACATGCTGACTAAAACGTGCTATCTTGATGAATTTACATTAACTGCTTTCTAATACAACACCTACTACAATGGAATGGCTATTTAGTTTTCCAATCCATATTTTCGAATCGTTTTCGTCTGGCTTACCTCGGTTTTGTCGCGTGCGTGGACGTAGCGAAACCTTTGCACGTAGTAAAAGACAAGCCAAGCGAGAGAAATGACCATAAGCACGATAAATGAGACTGACACGAACAAGACAGAAGTAGGATTCACTCCTTGATATGTGTCTTCATACACTTGTCCTACCGAAATAGCTATAAAAACTGTTTTCGTTCGATTAACTAGCGCCCGGGCAAGAGCTTGGCCAAGACTCTTTTTCACTGATACAGCCACAATGCCAATCGCTTCGTCGTGAGACATGGTTACAACGTTACCATTTTTATTGTCGTAAATTATAACAGCCGTAGCGTTATGCTTTTTGGCATTATTTATCTTCTTCTCGAAATTACACTCTCCTCTTTCGATGAGGGCTATCCAAGGGATTCGATCAACCATAACGTTAAATTCTTTACAACCATTGACGTTGGTTGCCATTAACGAGTAAAGCCAACCTCTGGCTTTATTTTTTGGGCTATCCTGGCCAAACTTGGCTTCATCGTCATCATAAGGCATTACACGGCATTTCTTAGCAGATCCATCGCATTCAGTTATATTCAAAGTGGCCTCTGTATATCTGCTACTAGTTCTCTCGTCGTAGAAACTACAATTGACAAAATTCCCGACGCACGCAAACAACAATAAAACAAGGCTGGCGCTTGAACGGCCCAGAAAACAATTCCCAGTCGAAAACATCGTCCCGAAGAAAGTGGAAGGTTTAAGCAGATTATGAAATTGGAGGTTGATAAGGAAGTATCACGCGTTGAAGCTCTTGCAACAGGATTTTAAGCACAAGGAACCAAACAATTCTATCGCCATCTTGCCATCCTGATAAACTAAAGCGAAATGGATCACGTGTCCTCGATGACACACCTGGGATAATATTACGACGTCATAAGACTTCACGGAAATCGAAAGCGAGCGAAAGCAGTCTTAGTAAAAAGAACACCCCCTTTTTCCGTCTTTTTTATTGTTTCGCTTTTCCTACCTCGGAACTTTATTCTTGATTCACGGTTTGATTAGAAAAACTAGGCACGTAGAGAACAGAAGTTCTCGATCAGATTATTAATTTTTCGAGCAGCAACAATTATATTGGATCGACAGCTGTTGAGTTCCAATAAAAATATGAGTGCAGTCAATCCTTCCCTTGTGATCAATACTCACTGACCGCAAAACAAGTTTATGATCTACGTTGCATCGTCATCCCCTTAGCACAAAAATAACATTCAAATAAGCAATTGTTTCATAAAGGGTTTTGGATAGTTTTGAATATTATTGTTTTTCGTTTTCTCAGAACATGTCTTCCCGATCCAAATAAATCCCGCCTCTGTCCAACTGCCGTCTACGACGTGATTAGGCTAACCACTATGCTGTATTGTATATGCAAGGGATGATGTGAATTGCTCAAACAAGTCTGATGAGCAGAGCAGCGGGGCGTGGAAACTGTTTGCTACATTAAAAAGACTCATTACCACAGCCAGCCCAAGTGTGATAATTTACAACAACAACAACAAATTACAACTTAGAAGAGTTCTTATCGATTTGAAACGATCAAGAATTACTGGATGATGAGTACATGACGTGAACCGAACGATCAGGTGGTGCTGATTCATCAACCCTTTGAAGTAGTTTTTTATCTTTTCATTTTTTCAATGACATAACTACGTAGAAAGCTCCTGCGGAGAATCAGGGACTCCTGGTTTAGACTACCAAGAATTTAACGATTTTAATGCAATTGGCGTATATAAGGACAAAAACTGCAAAGCATGTGACTTGAATAAGTATAAGATTGCTATTGATCCATTCTTGTTTAAGAGCTGTAAAAATTTTGCAAACGATTTGCTTACAATTTCTCCTGGGCGTTACGGTCGTCCCGAGAGACAGCGTCGAAAAAAATTCTCATGCAATATATATTTTGGGGGGGGGGGGAGCAATGCGAACTGTGGCAAATTGTAAGTTATGCGAGTCACAAAAAGTATGGGACTATAATAATTTGAAAATTGTTATTGATACATTCTTGGTTAAGAGCTGAAAAAATTTTGAAAACGATTTGCTTACAATTTCTCCTGGGCGTTCCGGACGTCCCGGGAGTAAGCGTCAAAAACAATTCTCATGCAATATATATTTTTGGGGGGGGGGGAGCAATGCGAACTGTGGCAAATTGTAAGTTATGCGAGTCACAAATCTAGCTTCTGAACTGTAGAGCAGATCGTTCTCAGCATTAGCAATAAATTGACGGAAAAAGCGTTTCTAGATACCATGTTTGTGTAAAACTCTATAGTTATAAACTGCTCAAGAGTCTATTTGTCTTTTGATTAAAAAAAAAATTCCGTCAGAGCAGATTTTGATGTTATTGTCCACGTGACCATTGTTATGTTAAATGTGTGGTTTTTGTTCACTTGTTTATTTATTTCTTTTTTTTTCTTCTGTTTTGTTTCGGAATGTCTCAGAGAATTCCAATAAGGGTTTTAGTTAAAAGACTCACTGTTACCACCCAGATCTGGATAATGACATGTCATCAGTATGGAATTTCTACGCTCGTTCCTCAGACGTCATTTCCCGGGGAAACCAGTTGTAGAGTCGCGAAATATCGGCGGTCTTATCAGGCTAACTTTCTCTTGGAAGATGTATGTCCTTAGGGAATCAATAAGGTGCGATTCATGTTGGTACCATGTTCACTTCCACGACAACGATTGCGATAAATACGTACTACCACACATTTCCGGAGTTGTCACGCGAACCAAGATGATGTGTGCAGCAAATTTCACGCAAGAAATACTCAATATTGCGTGCAATATACATCACACGCCGTGAACGTACCGTGCGTGCAACATTAATCCACTTCACCACGCCTGTCCACGCAAAATGTCGTGCAAGTAAATGGTAAGTCTCTTATTTCCTGTCACTGTAGTTCAGACTTTTTCCTTTCCAGTTTTTGTTGTACGTCATTTCCGCCTCTCCCTTTTATTGCGATATTCTCCATCTATATAATATTGTGATTGCTACACAAGTTCAGTAACATCTGTAAACCTGAAGACGGCAGGTATGGCCAGCCGAAATATTGTTATAAAAAACAATACACGTTGTTTTAAATCAGCTTTGCAGTAGACTTTGGACTTCTCGTTCTTGGTTCTACGTGAACGCAAGTTAATCTCGTTGTTCTCGTCCCAATCTCCTCTCGGGAGGCCGCTCTCGCCTTCAAATAGCCAGCTACGCAGGTTTGCACAAAACTAGCCTGCAGTGCAGGCGTATTTTGGGCGGGCGAAACCTTGTTCGTGTTCGTAATATTGTTGTAGCCGTCATCTTTGATTTTATGACAGTGGAAGATTGGGGAGAGTAGAAATAGTAACCCTCACCGGTAGGTGCGAGGGCGAAAGAAGGAAAGGGGGGAGGGGGAGGGGAGAAAAAAATACTTCTCTCTCCCCGCCCCCTACCCGCTCGCTTTGACTCGCCCCATTTCCTTCTCTCTTCGGGAAGTTTCAACATGGCGCTTTCGCGAGCAAATTGCGCGCTCAAAAAAAAGGCCTGCACTGCAGGCTAGCACAAAACTTAATCTCAGCCACTGGATGGGCACTACAAATATCATAGCTGAGGCTTGTGCTTGCTTGTACCGCTCAAACTGGGCGTGTGTGCGTATGCGGAAAGCGACCGTCTGTTTCGTCGCGCACACAGTCTACAATCAATCAATCAATCAATCAACAACTTTATTTAAGTGTCTAGTCTTCTAGCTTGCCGTCAGGCCTACTAATCGGGGACACTCGTACACACTCGTAACCCCTCACACTCGTTTCACCGCCTTGCTTTTTTCTAGGGACGACGGCAACGGCAGCGAAACTTCACCTCAAAAGTTAATTCTCACTGTTTAGAACCTCACTACTCTTATCTTATTTCCGTTCAATGTCAATGTTGGGGAAATTTTTCTGGAGTTAATTTAGTAAAGACTGTATCCCCGAGTGCACAAAAAAGAAAAAGAAAATTGTCGTCTTGTGTTTATGTTCTCCATAGAACGATACTTTAAGAGGCCTCCAATCACCTAAAGGTGGTTTTTAGGAGGGTCCTCTAATATAAAGGTCAATAATACATTAAAAATAATAAACTTTGTCCTGTAGTCGTGCAACACGGCAAAGAAATTTTTCCAAAACGCGTGATGCAGGTGCAAAGTTGTTGTTTTGCTTATAAATCCTGGTGCTTTTTAGCCGTTCTCGTTGCTTAAGCTCCCTAGAGATAAAATACAGAGTTTGTGGACTGGTCAAGCGAATCTTCGTTTACCGTAAATCCTCCATTAACCCCCGGGGGCTTATTTATTTCAAACACGTTTAGAGAGACTTATTTAATTCAGCGAAGATGGTGGTATCAGCACTTTATAAAGAAAGAAGTTGGAGTTCATGCAGCTGAGGTTCAAAAACAAATCCTAACTTCCAACCCGTGAATAAACCATCACGGATCAGTCCAAATGAAATTTTACGGTCGTGATTGATAAACATAGTCTATCATTTATTAGTGACGACTAATGACGGCGAGGGGAAAGGGGCTAAAAGTTTCTTTCAGAAAATCAGTTCTTGTTGCTACAAAATCATGCGCGTTTTAGCGGCCCAGGGCAAACTTGTTTTGCAGTAAGTGACGTTAACTTCCATATATAGGGTGACTCCCCAGTAATTTTATCCAATTAGAAGTCAGTATTCACGCAACTTGCAGCAACATGAATCGTTGCAAGACAAGTTTGACGGTGGGTCGTAAAACGCGCAACATCGCTTTTCAACTCGTTTTGTATCGAAGCTGCACGTTTTCATTGCCTGTTTTATCGTACCTTTCGCAGAGGTTTCCCGCCTCATGGACCTTTCGACTTTGGAAGTAGTGGGCACAAGAAAAAACGGGCGCGCGAGAAGGAGACACGCGAGGGGAGAAGGAGCCCTGTGAGAGCGTGTCTCCCTCGCGCGCGCCCGTTCTCTCTTTCGCCGACGTATATCAGCCTGGAAAACCACAGGCGGCCCAGACGTAGTATGTGTCACTGAATGAATATATTAATATTCACATGGACAAATTAATGCGATGAGTCGTCGAAACTCCCATGGACTAAAATAGTCTAAAAGTCAAAATATAACAAAACAAAGCTGAGATACCTTCAACTGAACGTATCCTTGTCTTTCCTGGCCGGTTTAAGTGGCATTTTGTTGAGTTTTGAAATTGTAGGTACTATCCACTAAAGAAGAATTAAAGGCTGGCTACAAAACAAACAGACCATCTCCACGCGCCTTCACACGAAGCGCTATAAATTCGAGAATAATCGACGAATCCGCTCCAAATAACCATCGGCTAATCTGCAGGTAACGTGTGCTCCTGCTTCTGGCTCGCTTGCTCCACAAAACCCATCACAACTGCACAATAATTGCTCGCTCATCAACAACCACTGTTGACCTTTACGCTTCGATATGACCGCAAACGACCAGGTTTAATACGCGACGTGAATATTCAAGCTTAGCGACCGCGTTCGCGCAACAATGCAGCACTTGCTATGGGAGGGATGGTACTATTGCTTCCAGGTCAATCGACTGACCGAAGGTTCGCTGCGTTAGTTTTGACCAGAAAACAAAAGGCGATCGCGGGACCGTCCGTAAGTTTTCAACAGGGCAGCCCTGGTTTTCATGTTCGAATTCTTCTAACGTTCGCTGTCTCAGCTGCTGTCACATTGTTCGTCCAGCCGCTTGCATAGGTTCTTGACTCTACCAGACTTATTTGCTTAGATTAACAACGTCTTACTCCATAATATGTTGTCCAAACTGGTGAAGGAGGACGAGAATTTTCCGCCCAGGAAAAAGGCAAAATCTGGCCCCCGCTATGCAGCTGAATAGAAGATACAGCTGAAGATATCGTAAGGTAAAATTTATGTGCGCGATATCTTTTTTTATTATTATTATTATTCTCAAAACTCAGGGGCACCCAACGATGATTTCCCCCTAAATGCATCGAAAACACATTTAAGGCTGTCCAGGGTACTTTTGATCGAAAAATGTATTCTAAACAGCGCTTACATAAATTTAGTCAGGAGGGCTAAAAGCGAAGCTAATGATTTATAGTTTGCTCATACTAAATATAAAATATATCGTGTAATGCTAAGCGGAGAAGGCAACGAGACAGGGCCACCCAACGACTGTTTCCTCAAATACTTTCAATTGAAAACACTTCTGTAGCTATTCATAAAGTACTTTTAGCTCTATAGAAATGCATTCTAAGTGGCGCTATAAAATTTGCATCTCAGTGTTCGGCCATTCTAGAGGAACTTGAGTCTTTTCGAAATTACGAGGAATTCAGAATTATTTTCCCGAAAATTTTAGATGCAATTTAACGTATTACGAAGGAGATAATTTTTCAGATACCTTCTTTCATCACATTTTTGAATCCGAAAATTTTAGGATTCCATTTTACTCTCTAAGAAAAATAGCCTAACCCGGTGAGTGAAATGTGAAAAATTAAAAGTTGGATGCCCTTGACCAGAACTGTGAAAAACAACAATAGGTCTAATTGCAGCACACTTTCTTGTACATTTCCTTGCCGTTGATTTGCATGACTGCAACGTGAAACGTCCAGAAAACTTCCTGGTTTTCACTTTTTATGGAGAAAATGTGGTACATGTTCTTATTCACTTTTTCCACTGCCGCTCATTTTTTTTAGCTCCGCTATAAGATTCGTATCTGTTCGGTGCTCCTTGGGCAAATTGGATCTTTTTAAAAAATGACAAGGGCATCAATATTATTTTCCCGATTGATTGACCTGGAAGCAATAGTACCATCCCTCCCATAGCAAGTGCTGCATTGTTGCGCGAACGCGGTCGCTAAGCTTGAATATTCACGTCGCGTATTAAACCTGGTCGTATGCGGTCATATCGAAGCGTAAAGGTCAACAGTGGTTGTTGATGAGCGAGCAATTATTGTGCAGTTGTGATGGGTTTTGTGGAGCAAGCGAGCCAGAAGCAGGAGCACACGTTACCTGCAGATTAGCCGATGGTTATTTGGAGCGGATTCGTCGATTATTCTCGAATTTATAGCGCTTCGTGTGAAGGCGCGTGGAGATGGTCTGTTTGTTTTGTAGCCAGCCTTTAATTCTTCTTTAGTGGATAGTACCTACAATTTCAAAACTCAACAAAATGCCACTTAAACCGGCCAGGAAAGACAAGGATACGTTCAGTTGAAGGTATCTCAGCTTTGTTTTGTTATATTTTGACTTTTAGACTATTTTAGTCCATGGGAGTTTCGACGACTCATCGCATTAATTTGTCCATGTGAATATTAATATATTCATTCAGTGACACATACTACGTCTGGGCCGCCTGTGGGAAAACCAGACAGAAACCAGAAAGTTCACAAATGACACACTTCGCCAAGGGGGCTCAGCTCTTTATTACATGTTTACATTTAATCCATGGGCACAACAGTTGTTTTTTCAGACACATAGACACCGTCTAAGAACATACGGATATCTTTGTTCTTGACTGTGGTCGATTGCTTGATCAAAGCCGCTGCAAATAACGACAACAAGAAATAACAGTCAGAGTCGCAAATAATTTTCAGTATCAAAATGGTAAATGACATCTTATGAAATCCATCCACGGACGAACAAAATCATTAATGCAAGCAAAGATTACAAGACGAACAAGAAAGCCCTGGGTGGCAGACCAGAGCTGCAAATAATAGGCCCTTTGCAGCTAGCCATTCACGTGGTACAAAACCGCCACGCTGGAGAGCAAAAGTCGCCCTGGGACAAGACAAACAAAAGACATACATAATTTCAAATGGTAATTTTCTGTGTTTGTCTTGTCCCAGTGCGACTTTTGCTCTCCAGCGTGGCGGTTTTGTACCACTTGAATGGCTAGCTGCAAAGGGCCTATTATCCGCGTTTGTTTTTTAAGTAATGATGTGGGTAAGACTTGAAGCCATTTCTTTTGTTATGGCGTTTCACACAGAGAATGCATAAACCTACAAAAAGGCAGTTTACGAAATAAAATGTATTGAAACTCCACTTTTAAAGGTGTTTTTTTTTTTCTGTAAAAGGATTGCGACCAATCATAAGAGTTATAAACAAAAGCCAAGAAAAGTTAGAATTTTACAAGTTCCACACATAGGATTTCTGTGTTACTTAGACTCAAGCGAGATTTTGTTATAGGGATGTTGGTTAGACAAAAAAGGATTAATATACATGCTGCTTTGCGAATATTTCGTAACATTATTTGCAGCCACGGTTGGACGACATTGCAAATAAGCAGACAATTATTTGTAGGCAGTTATCTGCAGGTCAAGTGGTGGGCTGTTGGCCAATGAAAAGGAAAAAAATTGCATTGAAGGATAATATTTCCTTATTGAAAGAGCATATGTCCAGCAAGGTCAGAAAAAACTTAAAATTGAACATGGAAGGTGTAGGATTTACCTGCAAACTGATCACCAATATGAAGGAAAAAAGTAAAAAAGATATGAAAAACTTTCTTTCACGGGAAGGGTAGCATGGTGATTAATGTGCAAGTTAGTTACCTACCTGAATTTGAAACCAGCTCAATGTCATTGCCTTCCAAGACAATTTCATCTTTCACAGTTGAGTTGGCACAAGTCACTCCAGGTCTCATCCTCACTCGTCTCACATATTTCTCACCCAAGAAGTTACGTACCTCTACCAGGGTACCATTTTCTGAGACAGCAATGTTGATGGGGAAGTGAGCATACACTGCCTTCATTTTGTATCTGAAACCCTAAACATGTTTAAACCAGTCAGAAATGAGAGGACAATTCAATTCACAGTCCTCTTAATCAGTCTATGTTCAGATTCCAAATCTGAAATCTAGGCACCTATCTCAGATTGCTTCTTGAAAAGCCAACATTGCCAGGGAAACTTCCCATACTTTTCTTGAACAGTTGTGTGGATTCCCACTGATAAAGGAAGGGTGAAGGAGGAAAAGCCAATGGCTTAACATCATTGCCAAAGGATTGATGCAATCATCTGAACTGATATAATTATATGACCTTCAGGACAACCAACATGCTCTTACCAGTTTTTAACAACCCTAGTTCATGGTGGTTAGGCCAAGGTTTGAACCCAACAGTCCAGCTCACCACCACATCAAATTTCATGAAATGCACTTCTCAATTTGAATAGACATTAAGATAAAAAGGTAGTGGCATGCCAATCTTTAGGAAATCAAATGAAGTAAAGTCTTTGGATAAAAGTAGTGAGCTAAAAAATTAAGTGAGCCCACAGGGTCCTTTCTCCTGAAATATAGTAACCCGTGATCAGGCTCTCCCCCTTTCTCTTCCCTCTACTCGCGATTTTTTCACCCTTTCCCCAAACAGAGAGCCTGTTTGGAGGCTAGAAAAATAGGGGCCCTAGGAGGCCCTCCAAATATAAGCCCCCCAAACTCGTAACGCAAAACACCCTCCATTAAATAGCCCCTTCAGATATAAGCCCCCCAGGGACTTGTACTTGTACTGAAATTGCCCTCAAATACAAAGTAAAACAAAGCAAAAGCGGTAAATTTCCTTCCAACTATAAGGCTAGCCCAACTGATTTTGAAATGCAAATTTGCCTCCATAGAGAAACCCCTCCGAACATAAGCCCCTCCAAAAATAAGCCCCTCACAAAGGGGCTTTGAAAAATATAAGCTCCTGGGCTTATTTTAAGAATTTTACAGTACCACACACAAACCAGTTAAGATAGCACATGCCCAGAAGTTACATTAGTAGTCCATCATTTGACCCTAACAATAGTTATTTTGTGATCAATGAGATGGCAATTACATGCAACTAAACCATGTATACACATGTAAAACCACTGTTTCTATAAATTATACATTTTCACCAAAATAGACATTTTTTTAAATAGAAAATAATTGGTTTAGAGTTGAGATGAATTGAACTTACATATATGACTCCCTTGATCATATTCTCAATATGAGTGCAGATGGTCTTGACACAAGCCAACTCTTTACGGCTTGCAAACCAAACATCGACTCGTACCTTCTTCTTACCAATAAGTGTCAGCTCTAACTTCAGGTGTCTGAAGTTTCTGACAAGAGTGCCACGAGGCCCTTTGACCGTTACTTCACGGCCATTCAGCTTGATACTTACTGTACATGCAAATAACATAATAAACATGAGCAACACTTGGGTTTTTAAAATCTAGAAAAAGTTTCCAGAAAATCCAGTTGGGAAGCAAAATAATGGAACATGACTTTTGGGGTCGTTCCAGCGGAAAATTTCTGGGAGAAATGGAACATCCAAAAAGGTAGTCCTGTTTTTCTGGACGGAATATTCCAAATGGAAATTTGGGTTCCCTTTCTTCCCGATAGTTTTGGGTTTAAAAGCGATACAGCACACAGCAGTTTCAGCTTTACCTTTCTCTTTCTCTCTTCCCTTTTTTCACTAGCTTTTCTGGCCCAGTTTGTTTCTTTAGCTGGGCGTTAACTAGGCTCCATTTCCATGGAGAAAATATTTTATGGGAAAGCTTTTAAGGATCTAGGATTAGATGGAATGAAGGGCAGACTGTGGTGGGTAGTCAAACCAAATTTTCAACAGACCTTTTGGGTCTACATTTTTTTCCCCTTTTTCATAGTGTTCATTCTGGCATGCTTTGAGAGACCTCTTCCCCAACCCCTGCACAAGTTAGATGACAAGGTTGTCTTGACCATTAAAACTGATAATGTCACAAGCTGCACAAGAGTGGATTCACACCAACAGTTTTGGGCAGTTCAGGGGCAAATGGGTTAAGGAAGCAATATAAAATGATTGTTACCAGAGACAGATACATCAGTTTAAAAAGACACCAAAACAAGTACTCTCTTATCATACCATTTTCAGGTATTGAAACAGTCTGACTTGCCAGAATGGTCTTCATGGCTACAGATCTGAAAATACAAAAGTGAAAAGTTTGTTTGTGTCTACTTAAAAATTAATAAAAAAAACTATGAAACCTAAATGTAACAATTTTTAAGGTATTGTACAAACCATTCATTACATTGGGGTTACTTGATCTCCGGGCACTAAGTCAAATCTAAGCCTGGTTCACACTAAGGCTTGTTTCAAACTCTGTGCTACTGCTATGGCAAACTCAACTGATGGAATTAAATTTGACCTTTGCATGGCAGTAGCATCACATTTGAAACCGAGTTGTACTATGCTTTGCCTTGTGAAATGGTAGTAGCCAAACTTGGTTTCAAATGCCATGTTAACGTTACTGCCATGCCAAACTCAAGTCATATGACATTTTTAAAGTTCTACGCTTTGTTTTCAACAACAGCTAATATATTTACAGATTATAGTATTAAATTTGATGTCTGAATCCGAATTGTGCTACAGTCATGCAGTGCTGGCAACTCTCCTGGATAATCCAGGAGACTCCAGATTTTGAACAATATCTCCTAGTCTCCAGATTAGCATATAGTACGAATATCTCCTAGATAATCGCTGAAGTTTGCCATTTCTTCTGTAGACTCGACTTTCTGACAATAAAATTTCAACCATTTTGCATTGTTTAAGGTATTTTAATGTTAAGATCGAACATTTCCTCATAAACTCTGGTATGCCATTGTAATATAATAATGTGATTGGTGGGAAGTAAGCGAGGCAGGTCAAATGTTACAATGCCATCATCATCTTTTCTGGGTGTTTTGTGTCATCACAAATTCGTGATGATGGGAGTCAACGAGTATTCTTTGTAGAAATGACGTCATGTGCCCTGTTTCATGTCGTCATCTATCATCCCCTTCCTATCAGTTCTCACTATTTAAAGACGTAGGGGGTTGACAGCCCTGGTCATGATACACGGTCTTCAACGGGCGAATTGAAGACCGTAGTAAGACCGTAGTTGAGAAGAAATAAACACAATTAAGTTGAGAGCCAGTGAAATCATTTTCACAGACAATGATAAAAAATTAATATCCTCTGTTTATTGCTTTGTCCATGTTCTTACTATACTGCCATGCCACTAGCGAGTTACCTGAAATGTCTGCGACTACGATACATACATATAAGATATGCGTAAGCTACAGAGATAAAATTTAAAAAAATACAAAATACAACTTCGGCTTTGTAATGCAGCTCAAGTCTTTCTCTACGATACCACAGAAAGCAATAACAGTGGCTAACGTGTATATTTTGATTTGTGCAAATCAACTTTATTATGTGAAGAAGCGTTTAGCCCAATTTTAGACATCAAGGTTCTATTCCAAACACGGACATTAAGAGGAAGATTTAATACAAATTGTCAAAGGGAAAACAAGTGTACAGACTAGTTTAATAAAAAGGTATTCATTTATGTATCAGATATGTAATAAATGATGATGGATGACGCTGGAAAGAAGAAAATAATCGCGGATACTGAACTACATTCTCACCTTCTCTGAAGATGGAAGGAAAGAGAAAGAGCAGGGAGAGTGAAAATTGCTTGGTAGCCAGGCCATGTGTCAATTTTCCTCCTCTCTGAGACCCCGTTGTGTCATACTAGGGCAAATTGACCGGGCGGGATTTATTTTTTTAAATAAGTATTGCCGAGTTATTTTCATTAAAATAGTAATAATGTGATACAAAAACAAAAACTGAAATATGGGAAGGAATATAAGAAGACTTTGACTAAACTTCCACCGAAAACCGTCACAACAGGCAAGTCAACTTTCAAACTTACCCCTCCCTTGTGGGGATATGAGAAAAGGGACCCAGTCTCTCTGTCAAACACAACATTCTACGGCGGGCTGTGTAGTTCGTGGGAGCGTTTAAAGTTAGAGAACATTAAATGTCATTTTTCGGAGAATGTATCACGATGATGGAGCCAGAAGTTCCATTAAGATCTTCGCCAACATTTTTATTTCGTTCATCGGTGCTGGGATTTTGGGAATGCCACATGCTTTCAAAGAGGTAAGGTAAAACACAGCGTTTGTATGCGACCAGGTTCTGGCGCGAGTTGCCACGAACACATATTTAAAGAATGAACTTTTGTGGTCAACTGAATGTCGCCTGCTCCTTTTTATTTTCCAGGCGGGAGCTATCGAGGGAAGTGTCATTATGGCGATAATTGGTACACTGAGGTAAGACTTGTATGTCTCAAAATTTAAAGGTTGTGTTTCGGTCAGATATGTTTAGTTAGTATATATGTGACCTAGTTTCATAGATTGCTTCCATGGCACGGAGAAACGTTTTTGATGAACAAATTTCGTAGCCATAGCAGCGAATATCTAGTAGGGTCATTCTCTTCCCTTGACCCTTATAAATCATTATTTGACTGATTTGTTTAAAGTCTATACAGATGTTAAGGTTGTTTGTTTAATCCACATTGATTGTTTTGCCCAATTTTGTAGTTCTCCTTATTTAAATTATTTGATTTTGTTACATATTCCTTAAATTTATAGAGTACTTGTAATTAAACATCATTAGTCCTATTTTAAAGTTATCTTTGGGACAGATGGGGCTGATCAGCCCCATAGGAAAATCATGTAAGCTGATTTGTGGAGAAAAAAAAAGTGAAATGAAATTGAAATGAGGCACTGTTGTGATTAAATTCTGACAAGCAACAACATAGCTTTGAAATAGCAACATAAGATAAATGAATTGCTGGCAAACAACATGAAGTTGCAAAAGAAGGTTGAGTTTGATCGTCCAGGTGAACGTAGTCCTGAATAGGACTGTTGTTGTTGACAGTGACTGACGTTTCAAGAACCTGTGTGGTAGTCATCTCCTTTGACTCTGAAGATGACTACCGCACAGGTTGTCGAAACATCAGTCACTGTCAACAACAACAGTCCTATTCAGGACTACGTTCACCCGGAGGATCAAACTCAACCTACTTTTGAAATGACCCCTGGGTACAAACCCCGGGGGGGGTGGGGGTACTGCCATATATGGGCTATATGGGTATGTGCTGCTGTGAAGGGTATGGTTTTCAAGCAGTTTACTCTAGGATAGGGTATATAAATCAGAGCGTTTGGGTCTAGAATAGGGTATCATTTTTCAGGAAACTGATCAGTTGGTTGAAGATTTTATAAACAAGCACTCTAGGAGAGGGGGGTTTTGGTGGTTTACTCTAATAAAGGGGAAAAAAATTAAGGTGGCCTAGCCCTTGTAAAGGGAAAGGGGCCCCGGGGCCCCACGGCCCCCCCCCCCCCAAAAAATCCCAAAATGCCCCCCCCCCCCCCCCCCGAGTACAAACCTTTCACAGTTGTAACATGAAGTTGGTTGAAAGCCACAGTAGTGACAAGTAAAACCACAAATACAATGGTAAATACCAACTGCAACGTTGCGTCTTCTTCAATATGTGAAAAGGCTGCTTTTCAAATTTAGACTAGGGAAATACTTACCCCCCTAAGAGGACCTCAGAAATGTCCCAACAATGAGTTTATATATTTGATATTGAAATATACTGAGTAAAGGCTATCTTGAGTGGATCACTCCCTCAGGAATCAGATCAGTTCAGTTGGCTTTGTGAGATTTGAATTTGAAGTAGCGGCAATGACTAATGGATGTTATTTGCAAATAGTAAATTCATCAGTCAAATCCACAGCTGTGTGGTTGACCTGGTGAGACTGTAAGTGACCACCTCCTATATATATAAGGGACCACCTGTTATGTATATCCTCCAACATAACAAAATTTTTCAAGTCCAAGCCTTATACTTGGAACGACCTCCTTTAAGCAACCAAAACCACTTTTCGAAGTTGTCAGTTTAATAATTTTCCATTGTTTTCAACCTCTTGTAAGTAATCACTTGACAGACTTCATGCATGGTTTTAGTGCTATATTCGCCCTATGCACTCTGTTGCTAAGAGTATACAAAGAAACTACACACATTCAAGGCTGTACTCTAAGAAAAATTGAAGGGTTCAGTGCTCTGAACTTTTGAAATCCAGTGTGCCCAGCATATGATTTCTATGGAAAAGCAAAGATTTTCTAGTCGCCCGAGAACAAAAGTTAGACGCCACAGGCCACTGGGCTCTGCCAGAGCACAGCCTTGATATTTTAACTTACAGAACTCTTCTCAGAAGAGATCTCATGTGGTTCTATTCTTGTAAACAGCCACTTCACGTAAGCTAACACAAAGTCTCTGCATTTTGGGTACTCAGCTATGAGAGGTTCTAAAGTATACAGCTGGCTGTTTGCCAATACGTATAATATTATTTTGTAGTATTTGATTGTATTTTAGTCACAGATCTACCCAATAATTTTTGGGAGCGTCTGTGATTGAAGTCTAAGCAAGTTGAATATAGTAATGGAATCACTTTGACAATTAAAGTATTTGAGTGAAACTGATATTAACCAATTAACCTGCACATACAGGTCTGAATTATATTTCTTAAGTGGATGGTCCTGAAATTTTATAATAAATATTATTGTCACTGTGTCATATAAATTTAATACTTTTAGTGTGAAAGCAATGTTGCTGATTATTGATTGCAAAAACAAGATTACTTGGAAGAAGCTTGACCATCTTCAGAATGGCTCAGTGATTTCCAGTGAAGGAAGTGTTGCATTAGAGGAGAAGGAGTTGCTGATGACAGTTGAAAATGGAGATACAGTTTCAATGGATAAAGTAAAAGAAGAGGTAACAAATACAATCGCAACAAAGCTGGTTCATCAAGTGCTGGCACATTCCTTTATTTAACAAACAAATTATTAGTAGATTGAGTATGATTGTCTGGGTGAATGTAGTCCTGAATAGGACTGTTGTTGACAGTGACTGACGTTGCAATGACCTGTGCGGTAGACATCTACCTGGTCAAAGTGAGTTGTATCACGTCAGTTGATAGTATTAAACTCTGGTTAGTGACCTGATTGCCCAGTTTAGTTGCAATGTTATTGGTTGTCTGTCAATAACATCACAGCTTAACTCGCTGACCAAATGACTCCTGGGTTCAGATCTTTCACAGTTAACAAAATAGTGAATTATTGCATGGGACCATGGAAATTCAGGGTCAGGGCTGTCATTAATGGCCAGGGGTCGAGGGATTACCCACAGCTACTATAATCACTTATCAACCCTAGCTATTTCCATCAGAAACAAAAGGAAAGTTAAACCAAAAGAATCTCCTAGCTATCTTTGCAATTCCCTGCCTTCTATATATTCATTCATTCATTCATTTATTTTGCCCTTAACCACATTAGAATACCTGAACAATATACAAGAAATTTATAATATATTTAAGATGGTAGGCACTATTCTAAATAAATAATTATTTTGACAAAATGTTCAAAGTGGTAATGGCAAGGAAGCCTATAGTGAAGCTGGGGGCTTATACACTATAGGCTAGATTCCTGGCAATTATATAGGCCAGGGTACACTATGTGAGTTTAAATAATTGCATATACTTGTCAACTTGAAATTTTAGAGATAGCCCTGTTTGAACATTTTTCTATAAATTAGAAAACTAACCCACAAAAAAACTCTGTATCTATCAATCCCTAAGTCAGCTTTGCTGGGGGAGAGCGAACTTTCCCAGGATGGGTTTCTGGATGTATGATAAGGTCATGTGTTTTTGACAGGTCACATTATTGCTAGAATGAGGTCACCTCTTTTCAACAGCACTGTAATACTGTAATAATATTAAAAGGGTTCACAACTGAAGGTAAATTTATAAACACATAATGAGTTGGAATAGCATTAATATTTTTACAGTTGTAAAGACTGTAAGGGACTAATAAAGTGGCCACAGAATATAATTAAAATGAGGTTGTGGCTCTGTGCAGTCAGCGCACTCTGCTTAAGTTGACACAAGTATCCCCATCCTGGCAGTGGAAGTGTAAACTACGGTTCGTATGTAATTCATCATAAAGTTCTTTGATGTGAAATCACTTGGATGGAAATTTCACATGCATCCAATGCTTAAAATAAGCAAACAAAGGAAAATTCTGTTGTTAAACTCCTTAAAATTCCTAGATTTGGTGGTTTCTTACAGTAGGTGGTCACTATAGACTCTCGGTCCTTACTTGCAGAAACAGGTCTTATGCATTCAGCGTATAAATGACACTAATGGCATGAGTTTTGTAGTGAACAAATAGCAAAAAATAATTTCTATAAGACTAGTATACAGCCACGGGTGATCAACAAAATAGCATCTCTGACAATATGAATTGATTATTACTTGTAGATAATGATAATAATATATTTAGTAATACAATTGATGCAGAGGTTGCTTCATACCATATTTTTCTTCATTTTTAGATACAGAGCCACCATCATGAGATTGACTATGGTGATCTTGGTAAGTGTTATTCCACGTGCATTTTTTGTACTTGTGTATTTACATCCAGTTCTCTCCAAGAAGGATATCATTGTAATCAACACTTAGTGTCTATCACGATTAGGTGTCTTTCTTCATAAGGAGTTAGAAAATGGTTGAAGAGCTGCTGGAACCAAATGTAGTTGAGTCTGTTTTAGGGAGGTATCATAAATTTAAAAAATAGAGCTTGAAAAAACTTGTTTCAGTAACAAGTTGCTGTTTTCCAGGGTGAGGTTCAGTGTTAGCCCCATGCCTAACCCCCAACCTGGAGGACTTAGTGCTGCTGTTAGTCTGTCCTCTTCCATATAACCTGCCTAATTTGGGGAAACCTGACAGGAGCTTAAGCCCCCTGCAGGTTTAGCTAACAGGGTCATTAAGGCATGCAAGCTTGGGTAACAGGTAACAGCACACTGGAGATTGCAACCTTATGTCCTCACCAGGATGAAGCGGTTGAGTGAGTGAAAAAAAACTTGAATTGGACATGCAGCACTCAATTTTTTCTTGCTGAGGGCCATGGATTCCATCCTTGTCCATGTTTATGACTCTCTTTGGAAGCTAACATGACTTGCCACGGCAAGTGAACATGAAAAAATATCTAGCTGGAAAATCTACTTGTCCTGGATGATGGGATTTTTTACAAGCCCTGTCTGTTAAAAAAGAAATTTAAATTTAAATTTGTTGTTAGAGTCTCGCATTAATTTATATGTTAAGTCATGTTAAGGATGGAGGCCTCTTAGCAATGCAAGGCTCCTTTAATTTGTTGATCTTTTTACATGTAAAAGGTAGCGAGTTAGTGAAATAATGCCATGATATTGTTTATTTTTATTCTTATTTTTTAATAGGTTATTATGCTTTAGGGAATTCTGGAAGAGCCATAGTTGATTTGAGCATTGTAATCTCACAGATAGGTACATGTAATTCAGTTATTTTCTGTTTTATAGAAAATAATAGTTACCCCTTCATGTTTCTGCCTCCCTGTGTGATCCACGGACAACTTTCCATCTGCAACGCACATAATTTCAGCAAAACTGTGAACCTCAGATACACAAGGGTCTTCAGCCCTCACTTCACAAGGAATAAATTTAATTTTCTTTTCAATTTCAAGTGAAGTGGTGGTGTTCTTTTGGTCAAATCAAAAGTTCTATGATTGTTCAGTTTGCATTGTTTCTTTAAACAAGAAACTTTACATCACACTGTTTCTCCTCACCCACTGGGCGTATAAATGTGTCTTGAATAGTAATGATACTACAACCTACTGAGGCCATGAGGTACGGTTTACTTCTAGGTAATAATTGTGTGGAAGTGCCATTAAATGAAAGCTGTGTTCGTGGTCCATTTGCTTGATACAAAATCAGTGGGGGAAAAACAAAATAAGTGGGGAAATCAGGAAAGCCAATGTTTGTTGCTTTCTCCCTTGAGATTCTTTAATCTCAACCTCACATGAATCCAGTAACAAGAATTAAATTGAAAATCAAGATTCTCAAAAGACTGGCAGCTTACTTTAGAATCGTACAGTAGGATAAGTAGAAGGCCAGTTATAAAATTATATTTAAGCCAAATGATGAGTACAAGTATATTGATAAATATCATGACTTACACTATTATTTTGTCAACAGGTTTTTCATGTGCTTACCTTATATTTATCTCTGATACTCTGAATAACTTGTTTCCAATTATGAACAGGTATGTGATCAAACATTCCAGTTTTGAATATTTATGCCTTAAAACTGTTAAATTTATTGATATTAGTACACACTTGGGACCAATTTCCCTCAAAACAGTTAATGTGACAAATTCAGCCACTTTTAACACAGATTTCCCATGGCTTCTTCATACCTACACGCTACCTAACTATTTCGCAATATCAGCATTATCTCATTCACCATGAGATTTGGGACCAAACTGTGTGACAATGAGTTGATACCTCAGCTATGGGTATCACAGTCAAACCATAAGAATTGGCAGACCAAATCTGCAGCTACTAATTATTTTTTTGTTTTTTCAGCTGAAAGGTACTGTATGCCTAGCTGAAAAAGGCCTTACCGAAAGCTTTCACCCAGAGAATATTGTTGTTGTCTTTGGAAAACTCAAAATATCCTCAGATAACAAATTTCCAACCAAAAACAGTCTTTGCACTTCCCTATTTGGCCAAATCACTAAGTTAAGAAAATCTAGATTTGTGACGAATACCACAGCAATTGATAAATTACATGTGCTTAAATATTAAGGGGGCCACATATAGGCATTTGATTTGTTTTGTGTCTTCCTTTTATATTTTCAGACACCAGTTCTTAATGAGTCTACTTCCACCTCTTGCAATTCTAGTCAACTTTAGACATCTGAAGAAATTAGCCATATTCAGGTTTGTTTCCTTGTGTGCATAGCTAGATGATCTGGAACTTGATTTTGGTCCATAGTTGTAGAAATTAATGAAGCTTTAATTATTACATGTTTCATTCCTAATTAACATCCTGCTGTCATTTTACATTCGTTTCTCAAATGTTTTGTTCAGATTTGGATTTTGTGCTTTATCATTTTTCTTCTTTTTTTTTCCAGCCTCTTTGCAGATTTTGCAAATGTATTTGCCTACTGTGTAGTCTTCTGGTTTGATTTTGCCCATTTTGAAAAAGTTCAGTAAGTACTTGTTTGTTTTTTAAAGTTTGGATAATGCGAGTCGTAATAATTGTTCATGAATTAGGGCTTGGAGACAAAGGAAATTGGGAATCAACCTAGTTTGAAAAATTTCAACCTGAATATAATTTTGACCTGTAACATATACACTGGATCAGTCACTATTCAGTTGATAAACCATGACCAAATAAAAGAAATATTAGTGTCAAGCCAGGTCAAGCGTTCCCCCCAAGATGCCATTAATAAATTTATTATTTAAAAGATGAATCCATTGGTAGTTGTAGATTTCAGATTCATCTCTGCATTCTTGCACGAGTAATGAGCCGTGAATTCGCACACAAGGCAGTTACCGAATTTCCATCAGCTCAGTTTCCCTGAATTTGATGTAAATGTCAGAGAGAGTTCTTGTAAAATATTCACAGCTCATTATGCATGCAGGAATACCTATTTGAATTTGATACAAGTTACGGGAACAACTAACAGATTCATTTTTCAAATAATCAATTCATTAATAGAATCTTGGGGGGTATGCTTGACCTGCCTTGACTGTAAAGTATATGGTTTTCGCCCTGCAGATATGTCATAATTACATTAACTCTTTCACTCCTAGTAAGGGCCAAACAGAAATTGCCAAATAATAAATTTTCTTTTGAGGTCAATCAAAGAGGTTCCATTTCAATGGTATTAAAGATATGATTAATCATGCACAATTTAAGAGTTAGTGTGACACTCTCTATGGTGTAGCTAGGAGTGAGTGGCTTAAACATAGTTATCTGGTTGGGTAGAGTCCTAAATTGATAGCCAGGGCTGTTGATGATACTGAATGATATTTCAAAAACTTCTGATCATTATCGTCAGACAGACCAAGAAATAGTATGACGTAATATTGAATTTTCTCTTTTTTTCAGAATTCATCCCCAGATTGCTAGAATTAGTGGCTTGCCATTTTTTTTAGGTGTAGCAATTTATTGTTATGAGGTAGGTAACACCACAGAGCTTCAGGGCTAAAGAAAGTGAGAATTCCAAGTCATGCTTTGGGCAAGCTACTCTTACTTTTTGCTTGCCCCAGGCCGGGGCCACTACTTGGTCGTCTTAGTTCATGATCTAGTTGGAGGATACCTTGCTTGGAACCTTACCTTTTGTTCAAGTAACCTTTAAAAGTTACTTGCCCAGCAAGAAAATTGATTTGTCCTAGACTACTGTAAGGGGCATTTCTTAAACCCTGAGCATACTCGTGTAAGAGTAACAATTTTTACTGGCTAAGTAGAGTGATTAAGATGTGAATTGTTTTTCTCTCACATTCCTTGGCGTAGATGTGGTACTTTTTACATGTCTGTCCAGATCAAAGAGGGTGGACTGTGCACAGTGACTGTTGTTTTTGTTGCCTTGTCCACTGTCAACCTTCTCAGTCACCCATTCTCCTAAGATCCTTTTGCTTATGTTATCAAACTTGTGTTTTTGGGATCTTTCTTGTTTTTAGTTTTATGAGTTATACTATACACAGTGTAAATTGCTACTATCTTACAACAAAGGTTGAGTTCTAGTGACCAGCTTAGTGTATATACCAATACACTTGTGGTTCCATTTTTGGTTTAAAATCAGTATTGTATTTATTTTATGATTGAATGTGCTCAACAGTGGATTGGAGAGTTTTTTATTGAGTCTAGGAAATCCCAGTCATACTTCTTTTCTGATTGTCTGTACAGGCTGCTACTGTAACAATACTGATCTAAGCTCAATTATTATGTAAAAATGTGTCAATAAAGCTTTGGTGGCCTTTTCTTCCAAATGTGAAGTGCTAGACTGTTGTTGAAATCCAACTTACGAATGTCATTACGTTTTAGCTTAATTGTACAAATGTTGTGTCATTTTAGGGTGCAGGGCTGATTTTGTCACTTGAAGCTTCCTGTGCTAGTGATTCAAAAGACAAGTTTAGAACGTAAGTACCTTCTGACTTAAGATTCTGCAGAAGGTCTACTATCATGCAGACATAGCACCATCCTATATTTTCTGTAAAACAAATGTACCATATTTACATGTAGCAGACACCTCTATTAAACCATTTTCCCCTGGAGATATTACTGAAAAACACTGTTTGAAGCTCGTTGAACCATTTTTTTAGGTCATTATCTGTCTGAAAAGGCACAAAAAATAATTACATGCTCAAACCATTGTTTCCTGATGTGCCAATATTATAGCATTCTTCTCTAGAGTGTTTGTGGGTCACTAGGACTACAACTAAGTGTCCATGTGGGGAGGTTTTTGTCTAAATTAATAGCGAGCTAAAGCAACAAGAATGCTGACATCTGGGACATCATGAGTGGCAACCGGAAGTTCAATGTCTGGCTTGATGGAACACTTCTGTGTCACACAATGAACCTGAATACCTTTTTTTAACTTTTTTTAACTTCCACTGTAAAAATTTGTTGAGTCAGGGCGCTGAAAGGGAGAAAATATCAACTTTTGGTTGCCATTTTTGATGTCTGGGACATCAACGTTCTCGTTGCTTAAGCTCTCTACTATTCAAAAAAACAACTTATTATTTAATGATTATCTCAATTGCAAATTATTAGGTTGATGAGTTATTCTTCAATCTGACCATAACAAAATTGACTTATTTTAATTAGTTTGTGACACAATGTATATACTTTATTGATCCTTTTCAGTGTATTTAAAGTCACATTGTTTCTAGTCACAACATTGTACATTGGTTTTGGTGCCTGTGGTTATCTGGTAAGTGCATTAAAGTTTATGTTAAAAATATTAACAGTAATGGTAATAAAAATAAATTGTTAATTTTGATGTTGACTTTAGCTAGTGTGTTCATCACTTTAATCTAGCAACCCAGGTGCAGTGGCAAAGGGTGTGGTTTTTGCACCCCCCCCCCCCTTTATAGTCTGAAATTGGTACATGCATTTAAACCATTTTGGTTTTAAGTAGGGTGAGGAAGCTACATGTTTGTTTAAAATAGGGCAGGGGTTTTCGGGTTGTATGCTACACACCGTCACCAAATCATTTTCTAACTGTTCCCCCACCTTAAGATGGTGTCCGAGGCTAGGCTGCAGATAGCCTGCGAGCAGGCTCTCCGGGGCACTCTGGCGGCATGATAAGTTGCTAAGAGCGTAAAATTTAATATTAGTTTGTTTGCTTTTTGTTTTTGTGTTTGGTTTTTTCTTGACTTTTTTTATTATTGTTGTTGCTGTTGTTGTTTTTTTTTACTAGTTAACCCTTAATACACAAAGTAAGATTTTAACAGGTACGATAAAAACCCTTGTTTTCTCATTTTTCAGTCATTTGGAGAGACAACAGCACAAATGATAACTTTAAATTTACCTGAAGGTAAGACTGACAGTACATGTATTGAAATTGCTGTCAAATTTGATTTCAAGAGACACAAGAAATTGAGAATCAACCTACTGTAGCTTAGATCAAAATTAACGTGGAATCAAATTTGACTTGTATTATATATACATGTAGGCACCTGTTGTTGTCACAATGCGGACAAACTTCTATTAAGCATACCATTACATTCATAGTTATGTACGGTGAGTTTGTTGCTGGTTGCTAGCACTGCTCTGATGGTTTTTTCTCTGGGTTCTAGAACCAACATTTCCTAATACAGGACTGTAACAATACACGTATAACAAAGGACCAAGGGACGGGCAAAATTAATTCACTATAACAAAAGTTTCCTTATATCGAGGTTATACCGAGGACTTTGTTATATGGAGGTTCATTATATCAAGGAACTTGTACTGTAATTTTGTGATGCTGGCCTTGCAGCTGGTTAATAATAGGGTATTAAGGGTGCTTTTCAAAAGTCGGAACTGGCCGGCCAGATCATAGCCAGACCAGTCATTTTGAGAATGAAATACGCTTTTTCCAAGAGTTTTTGATGAAAAACCATCTCCTTCATGCATACTACAGGATTTGACTTATCTGGCTGGATAGCTTTGATTTAAAGTGAAATTCTCAGTGTGGTGGGAAAGGCTTGGCTGCTTAGTATGACAAATGGAAAGCACCCTGAGATGTCATTCTCAGAGCAAGTAACATACTGGCCAGGGACAGAACAAATGTCGAAGAGCTTACAATCTGTACATTTCCTTTGGTTGTTTGTTCCCAATGAATTTCTTGCTGCTATTTTTCTTCCAAAATGACATTTGTACCACATTTACTGACCAGCTAGTTACCAAGGGAACATTGAGGACAACAAGTTCATCAGTCCATTATACGGTTTAACCTGTTAAGTCCCAATATCCACATACAAATTCTCCAAACTGACCTCTATAGATTTTCTTAAGTAAGTAAAGTAAGTAAAAGCATTATTAATGTGTCAATGTATTTAGTTTTCACAACTAATTGGGGCCACAAAAATTAAAATTATTTACAAATAAGAAATTATAATAATAATGTATATACAATTAAAATATGTAGCATATATAAATTGTATAATAAAACAGAATTTGATAAAAGATCAAGGCATTTTCTCTTAGGTGATCATTTTTATTAATTCTCATAACCTAATCTCTTGACATTGTATGGATATTGTTAGGAGAAAATTAATGTTAGTCACTATTTGGACTTAATGGGTTAAACAGTATTTGGACTGATGAATATGTCCCTCATTTGCTTTGTTATATTAATAATATTGCTTGGATGACATTGTTTTCTCAAGAATTTTTTTTTTTTTTATTTCAGGGCCATTTCCTGCAGTGGTTCAGTTATGTCTTTGTTTTTCATTATTTTTTACTTATCCAAGTAAGTAATAATAAAAATAAATAAATAATGTAGTAGCAGTAGTATACTTTCATGGTAACAAGTCTATCATTTTGTACCCGTGCTTATGTACCTGCATGAAATTCTTTTACTTAATAAGCAGTTACATTTTTTAAAAAAATTCATTATTACTGTAAACTTCGGATTATAAGCCCTGGGCTTAAACAACTTTGTAAGGAGTTTTGGGGGGCTTGTATTTGGGGGAGCTTAAAAAAAAAGTGTTTCAAAACAAGCTACATAACAGTGCTGATCAAAATACTTTTTGAATTATGATCACTTAATTAAGCTTCAAAATGTCGTAACAAGCTGGGGGGGGGGGGGTGGGGGGGGGGGGGGCTTTTAACCCGATGCATTTTTTGTTTACAGTTGGGCTTATACATGTTATTGGAAGTATATGGTATTTAATATTTATTTATTTATTTATTTATTACTTTTTTTGCAGTTATGATGTTTCCAGTTGCACTATTATTGGAAAAGAAATTACTTCCAGATGGTGGAAGAAACAGTTACTATCCAGGAGTGAGTATCTATGACAAAAAAACTTTATCATTTATTTTGTGTCAGTGTGTCTAACACATGTAGCTAGAAGCGCTAATTTTGCCCCTTTTTTTGTCCTTTTCTGGTGACAGGACCAGATTCTGCAGATTGTATGTGGCCAGCTTGTTTTCTTAACCTCACAAAAGTAAAACCTTTGGCAGGTTATAATTTAAATAGGGCCAGTAACTCATGACCCAACCCAACATATCAAGTACATGTAATTTGATTTAAAATTGTTTAGTGGTAGAACATCTACTTGAGTGAAAGTGGTTCTCTGTCTACCAATGTTTTCCTGAATGTACCAATTGGAATTAGAATTTTTTTTCTGCATTTTGGAAATCAAATTTAAATTGATGATTAGATATTTAAGGATCATGGACCACATTCTCCGATTTCATCTGACAGACAACAGTGCATGTCACCATTATGAGTATTAATTCCAAGGAAGAAGGCTTGAAATTTTTATTTTTTGATTTCTAATCACATTTTTCTTGCCTTTTGACCACAACCTGACAACAATGTTTTTCTTTGCAGAGTGTTTTACGAGCCTGTATTGTGGTATTAACAGGCATTGTTGTATTGTGTATTCCCAACTTTTCCACATTAATGGCGTTCTTTGGATCCAGTTGCTGTACTCTATTAGGATTTATATTACCTGGAGTTTTTCATCTTCGTATTTTTGAAGGGTGAGCTTAGAATTTCTTCCACTAACTGCAGAATGGCAAAAGATGGATAATGCTAGCCACTGTAGAAAAATCTATTTACTGGATCCACTGATCAACAATGATCTATCTGTTGGACAAATATTATTTTATCCAGTGGATAGTGCTCATGCTATCCAACATTGCAACCACCAGGGCCAGGTGTTTAAAGGCTGGACATCAATATCCACTGGACAAATTTCTTTTCAGTGGATATATAGCACAGTTGGCTTCCCTTAGGCTTATACTGTACATTTCCACATGATTTAACAAACCATCAACAGTTTTCCATGGTCAGACTGTACTCTTATCAACTATAGAGCTGCAAGTGAATGGTTTCACTGCAAAGTTTTGAACATTTTGATGTCATTTCAATGGCCGTTTTAAGAGTATATACCATGAATAATGGCTGGTGATTTGTTTTTTCAATAACATTGCTGTTGACATTTTTTTTGTGTCCATTTTCTTTGACCTCATTGGGAAAGTCATGCATCCAAAAAGAGAATTTGTACCACCATCACATTATTTTCATGGTCTGTACTTGTATTGACCATAGCTCTCAACCAATCAGGACACAAGAAATCACTCAATTATTATATACAGTGATTTATCCCATGGAAAGTGTTATTCAACCTTAGAACAACCATGACGTCAGCATTATAACGTATTGTTTCCCAACTAAGAATTAAGCAATCTACAACAACCATGGTAGCAAAGCTTACATGTGCTAGAGAAGTTTTCATTTCTTTACTGATTCCACTAATTTATTGATGAAGTACTATCTTTTTGTCTTCTATAATAAATTATACTACTTACTGAAACTGAAGATATTACTTTGGATTAAAATGCACTATGCATGAAATATACATGTAAATGTTAAAAATTATATTGCTTCAGTTATGAAACTCTGTCTGTTTTCTTTTCATTTAGGCACCTCACAAGATGGGAATTGTTAATTGACATATTTATCATATTTATTGGTTTAGTAGGGTAAGTAACAGTGATGTTGTTGTCATTTAACACTAGTATTACTGTATCACTAACAGCACTGGTGTCATGTTGCATAACAGAAAAGTGGTTTTGTGTTGCTAAGAGAGGATTGCAAATTGCCAGTAGGTCCATTGTTTCCTCGCACCTGTTTAGAAAGGGGTTTCTTCGTTTGCTAGTAATGGCCTCCTTGACGCAGTGCTTGATGATGTTATTTCCATCAGATGCTATTTTGTTTTGGAATTTTCTACACTAAGTGTACGTTGCATAACAGAAAAGTTGTTTTGTATTGCTAAGAGAGGATTGCGAATTGCCAGTAGGTCCATTGTTCCCTCGTATCTATCTAGAAAGGAGTTTCTTTGTTTGATAGTAATGGCCTCCTTGACGGGGTGCTCAATGATGTTTTTTCCGGCAGATGCTATTTTTTCGTTTTGGAATTTTCTGCACTAAGTCATCGTAATGCCTGCAAAAACTCTCTATTATTGTGGATGCATGGTCACTAGGACGTACTCCTAATTGATCTTATTGACTCAAATATTAATGTTTAGTCATGATGTAATGGCCTTTCTTGTGTTCGTCTGTTGCAGAGCTGTAATAGGAACAAGGGATGCCCTCCTGAGACTTCTAGCAGGCTCATAATCAACAGCCTTCCTAGAGATTGCCAACTGAAGTAAACCGTTAAATAATAGTAATGCATAACTCTATAATTTGTGTCAATTGTATGAAAGGAGAAGGTTCATTCCCATCTGGGATGTAATATACATGTAAAAAATAGCCTTTTAAGAATTTCTGTATTTTAATCAATTGAGTTGAGTTCAAAGGTAATTACTCTGTAGCTATTCTGAGTTTTCCAAAATATTTAATTGCCAGTTCAGTTTCAATAGAGTTTGATCCATGCTTGTGAATATTTCATTGCAAAACAATATTAGTGCTTGTTCAAAAATTGATTTTCAAGGCTGTTTGTTATTAGTGCAGACTCAGAGCTGTACTCAAAAACATAACCTATTGCAAGCATCATTTTAACACCAGGAAATAATTTCCTAGTTAACTTGGGTGAAAAAAAAAATAATTTCAATTTCTCCAAAACTTTTCTATGTTCATGCTTTGTTACAAAGTTTGGTTCCTCCCATAATTAAATGAAAACTTTGAAACTTTTTTTTCGTCATTTCCGCAAGGTTCCCTTTAAGTCGCAATAGTGACCAAGATCAATTTTCTCTTAACGATATCCATACATTGTCAAGAGATTTGGTTTTGAGAATTTATAAAATGAACACCTACTGCTTTGCTTTGATCTTTTATCAAATTCTCTCAACTCATTTTTTAAGGAAATATATAGATTAGTTTGGAGAATTTGTATGTGGATATAATGGGACTTAACAGGTTAAGCCCCAAGGTCCACTCCAGACTGATCTCTGTACATGTACAACTCGTCACATCTCTAACATAGTGTTAGTTTACTTTAGGGTCTTACTTAACTTCCGAAATTATTATTATTGAAGGAAATTGTTCAAAATTGTTAGTAATAGTTTTTCTGATATGCCAATGGCATCTAGTAAGAGGTGTCAGTTATAATATATAAATATTGGATTGGTCACAATGTTCATTTGAATTGATAAGCTGCATTATATTATAAGATGGAGAGCCAGGTATTATTTATGGTCACAGCTGGAAATGGTGATGAATTAGAATCAGAATTTGAATGTTGGAAAGGTGCTTTTGATATATATTTTTTATCAGTTCTGCAGAATAAGCTAGCTCCCATGAATGGATGAGGGAATTAAGCCTTTTCCTGCATTTAGGATGCATAATATACACATTAGACCTACTTGCACTAATGTTGTCATTGCGAAGCAAAAAAAGTAATCGGAAAAAGCTAAATATAGGACTAAATTAAGCATGCTTACTACATTCAGAGATCTGGTTTGGCTAAAGAATGAAGCTCAAAATTGATATGGTCAGGCAGTTTCCTTCTCTAACTCTACTGATGTCTTACATCATTCTGCAAAAGTGCTCTCAGAGTTATCAAAATATCAAAACATAATTTGCAAGTTATTTGGCTTTTTTGTTTTTGCGGTTTCATATGACAATGTTATTGCAGTTAGGGGTATATTATGCATGTATGTGCAATTACTGTGCACAGGTGTATACAGTACAAACTACATAAAGAAGTCAGAGGCATTTTTACAGAATAAAAAAGAATTGTATGCAGAGGGTATCGAAAAACAGTATATTTTCACTGCATGATGAACTGACTGAATGTATACAAAATATAGTTTAAAAAGAGTGTAAGAAATATGTAAACAAATAATACAGATGATTTTAATATTTATGTGCAATACCATTTTCTTTTGAAGGGTTTTTATTATTTTATATATATATTGCTGATTCATGCTTTTCTGAGGAAATGTCAGGTTTTGTAGTTGGCAAGAGTCCAGACTCATAAATGTCAAGGTTGAAAATCTGGCCTTATCTCTTGAATTCATGCTTAGAAAATAATGTAGTTTTGATTATACAGTGAAACCTCTATTAAGTGACTCGAGCCATTTTTTTTTTTTTGGGGGGGGGGTACCATCCTACTTTGAAGCTCTCTGGTATCCCCACCTTTACTTTTATCGTAAGTCTAACACATAGAATGGATAACATATAGATCAATCTACAATATAACATAAAATTTTTG